TGAAATTCTAGTGAGAAACCATGACCAGTGAAGTTCAATCTGTTGGGTGTGAGACATTTAGTCACCTTAAACTATGGATGAAGGGTTGCACGAGATTATGGATCGTTTGAAGTTAGAGATTAACATCATTAAATGCCGACTCAGTGGCCTATAGGTCCAGTGTTCATGAACGAGATCGAAGGTTCTTGATTGGATTCTCATGTGCGGGCTAATGGATGTGCGTTGTTGAGTCGCCCCTTGCTAGGGCGAAACAGTCTTCCAGTGCGTGTAGGTTTCCAATGCTGGTTGACACAGAAACTTAAATCACATGACAGATTATCCGTGAATGATTGAATAAATGACAGAAGTTAATTCTAAACTGATTATAGATTGTTTGATTCAGATTTTGATTGAGATCATGAACCGGTTGATGTTAGGCTGCCATTGTAAACTTATTGTGGGACTCCACATCAGTACGAAGCCACAATCTGGGTTGCAGGATTCGAGCCCGAGACCATCAGCCTCGCGCGTGAACGCTTAACCTCTAGACTACTTAGCCGGCCAGTCTTCTTTAAAATTCAAATCTCTCAAACGTATTCAAGGGGTTCACGATAGAGCTCTTTATAATCGATTCAGCAGGTATTAAAAAGCGAAAAGCCGAGAGTACAAATTCTTTTTTGATAACGGAAATTTCCTCGGAGTGTATCTGTAACCTGCCCTCTTTCTACAACTCTGTAATACATTCACTCATAGGGATTTTCTATTATGGCGAACTTCTTAGAGGCGTCATACTGTAGACAAAGATTCTACTAGGATTACTTTTCTGCACTGTTAATTGCTCTCTCATAGTCAAAGAAGTGGATGTATGGTGATACCTTCCACTCAATTGATGGTCCAACGACAATTCGCAGTGTATCAATTTCCGTGGTACATGGTTGGTCCCTATGAAAGCTAGATTGTTGGTCTCCAGATTAGGAATCTACAAATAATTCATTAGGTTCAGCAGCATTCCGTTGAAGTTTGCTTGGTAATGACATTAGTGTGATGCCGCAGCCTCTCATCAAACTCGTCTTTATCATCTTAGCTGCTACAATTGGTGGGTGCATCGCACTGGATAACGTTTCGTGTATTGCTTTCTCCTTGGTTTTGAAGCATCCTTTAATGATCATGTGACCCTCAGTGTCCCATCGCATAAGCACTTTTTGTGGGTCTTTGAGAAGTACCAGTGCGATTCCTCGTGTTAAGGTGGAATTTTCTCCTCCGCGACCAGAATACGACAACATTTTATCATGAAGTTAGTTTTTTTCTGTCCGGATTGTGTCTGATGTGTTTCACTCATTCCAGGCAGAGTAAATTAGTATCTCTTCATATCCACCGCGATTTTAACAACCCTTTTTGTGTCTCATATTCAGTCAATCAGTCAGGTACAACGTAGGATCAGGCACATATATACATCGGTCTAAGTTGCTACATCACATTAACACAACAAGATGAACACCGAGTTCATAGAAGTGGTTAATTCAATGGTAGTAATATATAAAAGAAAGATTGTGTATAAGGATATAATACAGGAAGAATAAATTAGTTGGTAGGAAGAAAGATATAAAGCAATTTTAAGGGAAGACCGACTGTATACGCCTAGGCCATTGTAATCGGTTCTGAGCCATATCACTTAGAGTCTCCAACCATTGGTTACGATAGTCACGCGGACCCTAACCGAGTAGTCTGCATCTGCCAACATGGCTAAGATTAGAATTTAGAGACTTCAAGGTTTGATGCCAGATTTTTTATCTCATAATGCTCGTACATTACATGTCTATTATTACTCTAGTTTTCAGAAGGATCTTTAGCTTCATGGCTTTTAAAGTATCTAGGCTTTTACCATGAGATCTCATAAATCTTCCGTATGAATATCCTTTGAATCCTTTGAAAGAGTTCAAATGGACTGATTAGTTCATTCTGATTAACCTTTATTACTGAGGGTTTTTATTTACGAAGTAGGTTTACTAACTCTAAGCTCAACTCTTCCTGTTTGCACGAACTTAGGATTGACAGCAATCTACGAGGGATTCTAGGATACGTTAGAATCTACAGACAATATTGAAGACATAATTACATATCAATAAATCTAGCCAAAAACATACATAGTTACAAATGAATGTGTAAATGAATATGCTTTATCTTATTTCGAAGAGATATTTCATAATCATTTTATCTGTTAAGCAAAGATGGGCAGCGGCTAACACTGGAATCCAGGACACGCATTTCATCCTATTTAGGACTCACCAGTTGAATGTACTTACATCCCAGATTTGATATTCACTCCGGAACTCAAACCCAACTCTGGAATGAAAGTACATCAATCTAACGAGTCCAAAATAGGACGAAATGCACATCCTAGATTACATTGCTAATCACAACCATCCATCTTTGCTTAAAATACTTGTGACTTAATACTAATATCGAGGCAATCCACACAGGATGCACGCATGGCAACAAGAAACTGATCGATTGCATACCTTAACAACAATAAGAAGATACAAGAAAAGAAAAACAATATCAAGTGAATTTTATCTGTTAGTAATAAACTTTGAAATTATTTTTATGTTACTACCGAATATAAAAATAAATTATCTAACATGTGATTTTGTTCATACAGATGACAACAATAATGAAATGTGCAGGTTTTTTTTTTTAAAAATTTAGAATTACATAATTGTCTGTTTTATCGATCACATGATGATTATGAAACCGATGGATACTGTGAGGATAAAAAGGTTTGACAGGACTATCATTTATAGATGAACCAATCAGGTGTAAAATAACAGATCTTGGATTTTGGCACGAAGTTCACCCATACATTTGGCTAAATAGCATTATAGCCGATGTCAGTTCATGATGAAAACCCTAATTGTAATTCCTAACCTTAATCATCAACTGTAAATCATAATTTTAATTTCTCACACATTGGTTTATAACCATCATTTGATCCTAGTTATTAGGTGGACACTCTCAAGATCAGTCTAGTGTCGTTCAAAGGTCGTTCATAAATCATAATCTCATCGAATATTTTATCTAGTAGTAATTATTATAGGTTATGCTATATTGAAATGATTACAAGTTCATCTAATCTGAGAACTGAATGCAGATTCTATGACATAATGACCAATAAGTTAGCTATTCCAATGCGTTTCAACTCAGTTAACTAAAGAGATCAGTCCAAGTTCAGAAGAGAGAAATATATTCCATAAGCAGTTAGAAACATGAACAATAACAATAAACACAATGCAAGCGTATATATACAGTATAAATATGTCCTTTGGAAACGATAAAAAATAGAATACTAAAAGAGACTATGAAACAATAGCATTTAAGGTCTTAATAAGTGGGAAATATGACATGAATATGAAAATAGGTGCTTTTGGTGCGAAAACAAGAAATTCACATATCTAAATTAAAATTACAAAAATAAAGCATTTAGCTAGTAAGTGCTGAGATCTGATTGTTTAGATTGATATCATGAATGGATTAATATTAGACCACTATCAAAAAGCTAGAAGCACTGGACATATGTTTTGTCTTTGTTATATTTGGTCGTCGCTGATTGCTGTGCCGGAAAACGCTGATCATATATACTTGTAACCAGGAATCTCTGCAATTCCCACGATGCAAAGGTAAGAACACAAGATTGGCATAAGTGAAGATTTATTAGCCCCCAAACACTATAACGACGACGAATCGAATCTCGTCTGAAATACACTGGTTTATATATTGATTTTACACCCATTTTCGATTCATAATTAGGATTAAATCACATACTCAGTTATAACAAATCACAGACTGAGTATAGTTCATGTCAACTGAATACAAAAATATCGTATATTATACAGAATCAAATATCATACTGGGAAGACAAATCAAATACTACACTGAATGATCCTCACGTTGAATCAAAACGGATATCAATGTTGAATAAAACTCATAATGAGTAAATCAATCGAAAATGGACTTTTCTTTCCATCATATCAGTCTTAGTATGGGATTCCTTAGTCGTGAGCATCCACAATCCCGCACTCGGAACTCGAACCAAGGACCGAGAATTGTGATTAACCTACATAAAATATTTCACATTATACTGTTAATATCAGTTCTACATTTAGATTTTATTAGTAAAATATAAAAAGACTGATTATTTTATATGTTAAGATAGTTTGAAGATTATTGCTTACTTACTTACTCCTGTTACTCCTCGTGAAGGACCACAGGCCGCTCACCAGCATTCTCAATCCAACCCTGTCCTGGGAAATCCTTTCCAGCTCTTTACAGTTCCTATTCATCCTTTTCATATCTGCTTCCATTTGCCAACGTAATGTGTTCTTTGGCCTTCCTCTTTTCCGCTTCCCTTCATGATTCCAAGTTAGGGCTTGCCTCGTGATGCAGTTTGATGATTTGCCTAATTTATGTTTTATTCATTTCCATCGTCTTTTCCTAATTTCTTCTTCAGCTGGAAGCTGATTTGTTCTGTCCCACAGAAGGCTTTTGCTGATGGTATCCGGTCAATGGATGTTGAGTATCCATTAGTTAGTATTAGTTTGAAGATAATACAATCGAATATATTCTAAAGAACTGTTAATTAAATACACCACACAATTTATTTCTTCTTTTAGTACCATACGAAAAAGAGATTATTGTACAAGTTTCCCAATGAACATCTATTTAATCTACCCTTTTAATCATTTGGATTACTCAAATTCATTTTAACTAGTGATCATCACTAAATGTGAAATATACAAATCTCTAATAACATTTAGATTGTTTAAATCTATAGGTCATAACTTGATCTAATTACAATTAAGGTCATATTGAATAACATCATGTTATAAATCACATTAGTTTGCATGAAACATAAATGATATGCCCCCCCCCTCAAAATACTGATATCAACTAAAGAATCAATTACGAAATAACACCAAACACATGATGAGTAAGAGTTAAACTCGATGGATCGTAAACCAACTGACCGAGTAGTAGTAATAGTAGTAGTAGTAGTAGTAGTAGTAGTAGTAGTAGTAGTAGTCGTCGTAGTCGTAGTAGTAGTAGTAGTAGTAGTAGTAGTCGTAGTCGTAGTCGTACTAGTCGTAGTAGTAGTAGTAGTAGTAGTAGTAGTAGTCGTAGTCGTACTAGTCGTAGTAGTAGTAGTAGTAGTAGTAGTGGTAGTAGTAGTAGTAGTAGTAGTAGTAGTCGTAGTCGTAGTAGTCGTAGTCGTAGTCGTAGTAGTAGTAGTAGTCGTAGTCGTGGTAGTAGTCGTAGTAGTCGTAGTAGTAGTAGTAGTAGTAGTAGTAGTCGTAGTCGTAGTAGTAGTCGTAGTAGTCGTAGTAGTAGTAGTAGTCGTAGTCGTAGTAGTCGTAGTAGTAGTAGTAGTAGTAGTAGTCGTAGTCGTAGTCGTAGTAGTAGTCGTAGTAGTAGTAGTAGTAGTAGTCGTAGTAGTAGTAGTAGTAGTAGTAGTAGTAGTAGTAGTAGTAGTAGTCGTAGTAGTAGTAGTAGTAGTAGTAGTAGTAGTAGTAGTAGTAGTAGTAGTAGTAGTCGTAGTAGTAGTCGTAGTAGTAGTCGTAGTAGTAGTAGTAGTAGTAGTAGTCGTAGTAGTAGTAGTAGTAGTAGTAGTAGTAGTAGTAGTAGTAGTAGTAGTGGTAGTAGTAGTAGTAGTCGTAGTCGTAGTAGTCGTAGTAGTAGTAGTAGTAGTAGTAGTAGTAGTCGTAGTCGTAGTCGTAGTAGTAGTAGTAGTCGTAGTAGTAGTAGTAGTAGTAGTAGTAGTAGTAGTAGTAGTAGTAGTCGTAGTAGTCGTAGTAGTAGTAGTAGTCGTAGTAGTAGTAGTAGTAGTAGTAGTAGTCGTACTAGTCGTAGTAGTAGTAGTAGTAGTGGTAGTAGTAGTAGTAGTAGTCGTAGTCGTAGTAGTCGTAGTAGTCGTAGTAGTAGTAGTAGTAGTAGTAGTAGTAGTAGTAGTAGTAGTAGTAGTAGTAGTAGTAGTCGTAGTAGTAGTAGTAGTAGTAGTAGTCGTAGTAGTAGTAGTAGTAGTAGTAGTAGTAGTAGTAGTAGTAGTCGTAGTCGTAGTCGTAGTAGTAGTAGTAGTAGTAGTAGTAGTAGTAGTAGTAGTAGTATTTGTCGTTGTTGTTGTGCGGTGTATTCCACTTATGTTAACAGATATAAGTAGTATAAAACACCAATCAAAAGTGGAATGAATAGAAAACAGAAAATTGAGAAGTTGAAATAAAGAGAACAGAAAGAAATTAAAAAGAAAACAGAATTGAAAGAGCCATGAAGGATGTAAATGACAACTGAAAAAGGATGTGAAAATGGTATCATTAATATTGCGGCTGATAAATAGTATAAACTTGGAATTGGGAAATACTAAAGAAACCAGGATGTGACTTTCGGGAACTATTTATAGACTGTTATTACATATCTATTCTAATTGTATGATTGTTAAATTGCTAGATTATTATATAAATTTATATTATTTTTACCAAAAGCTTTCATTTGACCCATGAACTACTGTTATGAGATTCACTATTCTCATGTTATTCCCAATCTATTAGTTACAGTCTCTCACATTCGCAGACACTTTTAGCTTGATCTTGTATAATTATTACTTTTCTTTTTATGATTTGCTGCGGGGTGGTTTGCTTGTACATAAACTACCTATGTCTGAAATATATTATCCATAAATTGAAAGCTGAGATTGTGCTCTGGACTCAACGGGTACGGTTAAGCAAGAAGTTACCCTTTTTAAACATCAATAAAGATTCATAGTTGATGCGAAGTTTCTAGTGCTGGTTGACGTGTAATTGGTTTAGAACAGAAGCAAATTAAAAAAAAAATTGGTATTCTGATAGACGATTTCGTTACGTGATAACTAATCGGTGCAAAAGCAACACAAAGGAATTTTTTACATCGAAGGAGAAAAATGAAAGCTCCATGATCAAAACATTCAGCTCAGAGAACAAAACTTCACTTAGAGAAAAGCTTATGTGAAGCACATGGTCTATGTAAACAAGATTTACAATCACCGAAATGGAAATAATCGAACAGCTTCTTCATTTGTTTTCATCATTATGAGTATCGTGAAATATCTTCGAATAAATTTTGTAAAATCACTTTATGTACTTACAAGTAGTTGCATTGAAATGACAAATATTTAGACACTAACCAGTAAAATCACAGATTTCGGGGATACTGTAGTTTAGGAGAATGGATGTATTGATTGACAACATGAACTGAATTGCAATTTTGATTTCTGATTTGTTATTAAATGTAACCAAAAAAGAAATATAAAAATTCATAAAGCGACAGATTATAACAAAATAATAAAGATGGATAGTGGCTAACAGCGGAATACAGGACGCTCATTTCGTCCTTTTTGGGACACTTCAACTGGATAGACCTGCATCTCAGAGATGATGTTCACTCTGAGACTCGAAATTAGTACCATCCGGTTAAAACACCATCGTGTTATCCCTTTACCTACTGAGTTCATCCATCTTTACTTTTAATGCTTGTGAATTAAGGCAATATCAAGGCAATCCTCACAGGATGCACATATACCAATAAGAGATTGATCAATTGCAGTCCCAAACAACAATGGGAAGATTCAAGTAAGCAATACCAAGTGAATGTAATTCTATATGTATCCTGTGACTCATTTTCCAAAGAGTTATTAGAAACCTATTCCAATGAGAAAAGAAAACTAGTTCAGAATTCTAAACCTACATAGTGGATTGGTTACTTGATTGAGATCATGAACCGATTGATGTTAGACCACCGTTGAAAACCTGGATACAATGAATGGCCGTTTCATTCTATTGTGAGACTCCTCAGCAATGTGCATCCACGATCTCACTCGTAGTATTCGAACCCACGGCCCTCAGTCTCGCGCGCGAACGCTTAACCTAGTGGACCACTGAGCCGGCATCCAGGGGTGTTAATGTCTAATGGATTGGTTGAGGTTAGAAATTAACACCATTGGATGCCCAATCAGTGGTTTAGAGGTTAAGCGTTCGAACGCGAGACTGAAGGCAATGGATTCGAGCCCCGCGAGGCCGGATCGTGGATGCGCCCTGTGGAGGAGTCCAACAAAAGGACGAAACGGCTGTCCAGTGCTTCCAAATTTTCAATGGTGGTCTAACATCAATCGGTTCATGATCTCAATCAAAAACTTAACAATCTCCACAACCCTTAAACTGACAATGGACTGTGTTAGGAGAGGGATTAAACATGCTTCGTAATCTTCATACGGTTACTCAGTTAATTAATCAGCAAAGAGCTACATTCAACCAAACGTCAATCAGTTCTGACTACTTATCGGTGAAAAATAAATCTGTGAAATCAGTCTATTTCACTCATACTAAATTTTTGTTAATGACAGCAAAATAAATCTATACCCTTTCTTTCTCTTAACTTAGGTTCAATCGCCAACGACATCATTTAATCTCTAGATCTGGTATCTAGTCAGTAAATAACCAATTGTGTGTAAATCGTCGGGAATTTAGAAGGCGAAACGAAGAACGATAGCCACTATTGTTGTTTGATTATTCTGATTTAATCCTTAGGTTTGGCCACCATACAACCAACTCCGTTAAATAAGTTATTAGTCTGGATAACTAGTATTATCAAAATTATTCCACTGGCACACAATTACACCATCGACCAAGAGAACACGAACTATACAGTACTGTGTTTTCTTGAACAAATCAATTTTTGGAGTGCAGATTATTCAGTTTTTCGTACTATTGACAACTGAGTCAAACACATCATGATCCAATCCCCGAATTCCCTGGTACGACCAAGAGTGTGAAGAGTTACTCTCCCTCACGAAATTCTCCCAAATAGCCTCGGGTATGCGACCACTACCAGAGATGTCCTACTCAATGCCTTCTCGCGGCATTACTGTTGTTTACAAAAATGAGAGAACGAAGAGTGAACGTTCGCCGATTTAACCGGTTCGGTGAATTAGGTGAATCTACTTGTGGAGTTGGAAAACTCTGATTCCAAACCAATGGTCACATGGGTTTCAGGATTCTGAGCGAAAAAATGACGTATGAACCAATTGGTGATAACCGGATACCATGGGACTACATTGCCTAACGTTGCTTCACTGCCTTGCAGATGAGACCTCTAGATCAAAGCTTGAAGTGATCCGACCGACCGACCCGACCGAAGTTGGTACCTTGACGCGGTGGTCGGGCTTGCCTACCGTGATGACCCAACCGAGCTATATTGGATAGAACACATGTTCGTGTAGGTTCTACCATGCCAGGCAGGTCGATTGGAGAACGGCTCTGCGGTCACGCTCCCAGGTCGTTAAGACCAACACTAATCCAATTTCCTTTTCAGGTTCCTCAAGAAATACCCTTCCACGGTGTGGGCAGCCGGGAAGTGACATCAGCCCTCATACCCGTAACAGCACAAGAGACCAAGTTGGTCACATTCAAATCCTTCCTACACCTCCTAATACCTCTCTTATCTCCATGACTAACCCTCCTCACGTCTTTTTATCACCTCGCACCGCTAGGGCAAACGATTCGAGTACGCGGAACGCCATTCCTGGTCTCCTGAAACCACGCTCTAAACTACACGTAGGAGCTTTTAACGTACGAACACTGTGCCAAATAGGACAACAGGCTTCCTTAGCTAAGACTTTAGAATCTCGCGCCATCGATGTGTGCTGCGTCTCCGAAACGCGCATACAGGATCCGAGTAGCGTCATTCATTTGACCTCACCATGCCAAAATAAAGAACCGACTCGATTTACGCTTCGTGTATCTGGAAGCCCTGATTCTGCTTCCCGTGGCCTCGCCGGCGTAGGTATAGCATTGAGTCCTAGGGCAGAACTAGCTCTCTTAGAGTGGATCCCAGTAGACAGTCGTTTGTGCGCTGTCCGACTGAACGGAACAGTAAGAATCCGGAAAGATAGGGACACTCGTCGTTGCCTCTTCGTCGTCTCTGCCTATTCTCCCACTGACTGCAGCTCAGATGATGTAAAAGATGAGTTTTACAGAAAGCTTTCGGACCTTCTCCGAAAAGCTAGGCGCTCGGATGTAGTAATAGTGGCCGGTGACTTTAATGCTCAAGTAGGTAAACTAAGCGATAGGGAAAGACACCTAGGTGGATCTTATGGTGTCGTGGCTCAAAGAACAGATAATGGCGACCGTCTGTTGCAGCTATGCTCAGATAACCGCCTGTTCCTTGCAAATACTAACTTTAAGCATAAGGAAAAACATCTTTTAACATGGCGACCCCCTAATTCGTCCCAACGTTGGACCCAAATAGATCACATCGCTATCAGCCACCGATGGAGGGGCTCGATAGAAGACTGTCGCTCATTCTGGAGCACATGCCTAGATTCAGATCATGCTCTAGTGCGAGCGCGTATTTGCTTGCGTCTTACTGGACGTAGGAAAGACGCTGCAAGGAAACCTCTTAGGGCCTACTTAATGATAGTCAAGCTAAGAGTATATTTCAGGAACAACTAGGAAAACAGTTAGGCAGCCATGTATGTGATGCCCACCCCGATGCAGCATGGAATGATATCCGAAAAGCTGTGGAAACAGCAGTGATATCTGCTAGTAAGGTAAACCAGAAGGTTAGGGAGCAACACTGGATCTCAGCAGCATCTATCGCACTGATAGATGCTCGGAAACTCATTCCACCTGGCTCTGAACATAATGAAGAGCGGAGTCAGCTTAAGCGCAAGCTGACAAGAAGTCTACGCAATGATCGCGAACAGTGGTGGGTAGCGAAAGCAAGAGAGATGGAAAAGGCAGCGGCAATAGGTAATAGCAGACAATTGTTCAGAAGTGTTAAGGAAACCGGTATTAGGAACCTAACTGTTAGCGAAACAATCTCAGAAAAAATGGACATACTATCCAGGAGATTGGATCGATGGGCAGAACACTTTAGGGATCAGTTCAACTGGCCTTCAGCCACACTTCGGTTTCCCACGATCTCCAGTCAACCTGAATGGCAAGTTAATGTAGGTCCTCCGACTCTTTACGAAGTTGAAAAAGCCATAGGAAATCTGAAACGAGGGAGAGCAGCAGGCCCTGACAGGTTTACTCCTGAGATTTTTAAGGATGGTGGTCCAGTATTAGCAATGAGATTAACTGAGGTCTTAGGTAGAATTTGGGAACTGGACGTAATCCCATCTGACTGGTCTCAATCACTGATTGTGCCAGTCTATAAGAAAGGACAAAAGTCCTCTTGTGACAATCACAGAGGAATCAGTTTGACTAATATAGTGTCTAAAATATTAGCTTCAATAATACTTCGACGCCTAACAAAGCTCGTGAAGAGCAGACTAGAGAAAACCAGGCTGGTTTTCGACCTGGACGTGGTTGTATAGATCAGATATTCACACTACGTCAGGTTCTAGAACACAGACACACATTCAGACGCCCCACAATGGTAGTATTTCTCGACCTTAAGGCGGCATTCGACTCTGTTGATCGTGAGGTTCTATGGCAGTGTTTGTCACTGAAAGGAGTACCAAAGAAGTACATTAACCTTATAAAGGCTCTCTACTCGAACACAACTGGTAGAGTGAGAGCTTATGGCGAACTGTCATCAGAATTGATTACCTCAAGTGGTGTTCGTCAGGGCTGTCCACTCTCCCCATTCTTGTTCAACTTTGTGGTCGACGTACTTTTAGAGATAACACTCTCCTCATCTAAATTTCCAGGGGTTGAACTTCTACCGGAGGTTCACTTGTTGACTTAGAATATGCTGATGACATAGTTTTATTTGGTGAAGACGCTGACAAAATGCAGAGTCTTCTGACCACTCTAAGCAACAATGCAAGCATGTTCGGGATGCGATTCTCTCCCTCGAAATGCAAAATGTTGCTTCAGGATTGGGTTACATCGACACCCGAACTAGTGATAGGGAGTGAAGTAGTTGAGTGTGTCGACCGCTTCACTTATCTTGGAAGTCTCATCAGCCCTTGTGGTTGGTGTGTGACGAAATCTCAGCACGGATACAGAAGGCTCGACTAGCTTTTGCCAACTTGCGTCATTTATGGCGTAGGCGAGATATCCGTCTATCAACCAAAGGACGTGTTTACTGCGCAGCAGTTCGTTCCGTCCTACTTTATGGCAGTGAAACATGGCCGGTAAGAGTAGAGGATATCCGTAGGTTACTAGTATTTGATCATAGGTGTCTTCGAAACATTGCTCGTATATCATGGGACCATCGAGTAAGTAACACAGTTGTTAGGAAACGGGTACTAGGTAAGGATGGCAAATCAATTGATGAAGTAGTGAAACTTCATCAGTTGAGATGGCTGGGACACGTGTTACGTATGCCCAACGACCGACTGCCTCGACGTGCTATGTTCAGTGGTATAGGAGTAGGTTGGAAGAAAGCTAGGGGCGGCCAAACCAAAACATGGCACAAGTCCATGAAGTCACTGACAAGTGAACTGAGTCATGTTGGTAGGTGTAGACTACCTGGTTGGGGACCGCGAGATGATAGCAACCGATGGTTAGAGACCCTGAATGACATGGCTCAAAATCGTTTGCAATGGCGCAGGTGCATCCAATCCGTTTTGTTCTCTCAAATTCTAATCTTCTGAATCCTTCATGTCCGTTTCTTTTTTCTTTCCAAATTTATTTCACTGGATTATACTCCTTAAATAACATCTCCAAACCCTAATCTTACCGATTACTGCTTATACTCTTACTACCTCTACCACTACGGGATTTGAATCGACAACTGCATCTCTGTGCTAATGCGGCACGGCAACTCGAACTGATGTACGTGCGTACGAAGTTTTAGGTTGTTACTGTCTAAATTGAGGTGATCCATTTTACCAGTCCATCTAAAAGTCATTGTGATAGAGATTCGCAGCTCAAATTGGTGAAATAATTATGGATAGTCGTTTTGGTTCGATTCTGGGTAACCTAGAACTATGATAAGATTAGCAACTAATGATAACGTTGTATGTCAAGTATATTAATCATATGTGTTGCATGTAATTATTGTTAACATGTTTCTCGTGAATTGGATCTTTTCGATAAAATATACCGCCATCATTGCATTTATGGTGGAATATGAAACGTTTCGTTTCTTAGATTTCAATAATACCAGTACTCCGAATGGTCAATTGGAAAGGCATACTTATTAAAGAGACACGTGGAGTGGGCTATACTTGAAGCATCATAGCTTCAGTAATTTATGGATAGCATCTTCTGAGGGTGGAATTGAGGGATTAAGCATAGTGGAACGTTGCTTGAGTGACAAAGGTTATCCACAAAAATTCATGACTAAGCATCAAACGGCTAGAATAAAGGGAATGAAATATACTACTATTGAGGAAAATCCTGTCTTCCTATAACTTGACTTCAAGTGTGACAAAATAACAGGGAAGATTAATTGATTTTAGATTAATAGCAATAATGAAAAGGGCGTATCTAGCCTCCGAGATGGTCCTTCTATACCAAACGAGACGCTAACTGAAACAATCGAACTGTAAGCATTCACACCTTATCTTGTCTCCACAAATTTACTATAGCACAAACATCAGAAGAACAGAAGGTAAGTTTTATATCCGAAACTCCGAACACATTCCACAAAAGTTGCGATTAAATCAACAAAATTGGACATTAGTACAATTGCTTCACAAATGACATAATATTGATGTGTCAGAACCCTTCTAAGTAATCGACCAACAAAAATTATATCACACTTATTATCGATTACAGAAGTGGTTACTATATAAATACATTTAAACCAAGTTTCTATACCTGAAAGATAATTATCAATCGTTTTTTATGCCAAGTGACCTTATTTCTAAAAGAATGTTACATAAGGTCTTTCCCAAGACCTTAATTATAGATGCGAATTCCTTATTTCTGAGCTTGTTAGGCCCCAATAAACATAATGAATGGTAACTGTTGGGATCCATTATGGATCAATACTATACATATATTTCTATCGTATAATTGCTAAATAACTAAACTATTCATATCCCTCTTAGTAAGAGCTTTATTTTGACCTATGAACTATTACTATACCACTTACCATTCTTGAATTATGCCCTGTCAATCAATTACTACCTCACTCATTCACAGCCACATTTGGCTAAATTTTGTACAACTGTTGTTTCCTATATTATTGGTACGATGTGGTCTGTTTGGTTGGTATATAAACCCCGTATTTTTGAAATAAATGATTCATATCACAAAGGCTTAGATTTGTGTTCTGGACTAAACTGACTAGGCTAGGCGGCAAGCAGGACTGATAAGGACTCTAGACTGCTCGCGCGTGTTTTATGCGTCCTTGGTCCGGTCGATAATTCACTGGTCTCTAATCGGCGGCCACAAATTATAACAGAGCTTTACTCAACTAATCCATATTCTCTAATCAATTATTAAGTAATTTACTACATGAATTGGTGATTTCGACAGAAATTCTCTTTTCAATCTTTGTTCCTAGAATATTCATGTACTTAACCTAGAAATAAACAAGGATTTCAACATATTCTCCATCATTTCATCAAAATTATTATCATGTATTATCCTACATCTACATGTCAAACTTAGTTTTATTCAATCCTTTACTGATATAATGTACATAGATTTGTTTTTTTTTCGAATGATTTTTATCAATGTTTTTAGGTTGTAAGTAGTTGAGGAGGATCCACAACACGTTGTCCTGTTACAATTCAGGTTGTTTCTTTATTTGAAAGTGTAGAAATTAGATAAGCAGCTGATGATGTCCAAAACTACAATGAGCATTAAGCGATTTAAACATCTAGGGATCATAATACCGTCTAACCCATTTATCTAAGCCACAAATCTGTATCACAATGAATTAGATGGACTAAATAAAGTAGATCATGATGAATTTGACTCAATTGTCAATAGTGCGAAAAATTGAATAATTTAATCTGCTCAAGACACTACAGTAACTTCTATAAAACTAGTTATCTAGATTAATAACTTATTTAACGGAGTTGGTCGTACGGTGGCCAAACCTAAGGACTAAACCAAAAATGTAACCACCCTACAGAAATTATCTGAAATATGAATCATGCATTCAGAAACATTAACAACGGGAAGCTACGTCCTATGGTCACTTACGAACCGAATTGACGGGAAGACGTTTCTTTGGGAATTTCATACAATCCTTCCATGTAAAGATTTGAATAATGGGAGAACAACGGGCTACTCATTTTTCCAGTAATTAACAAAATGGTCTCAAGGCTGTAAGCAGCTGAAGGAGATTTAAGGAATAACTGAATTGATATTATTCTGCTACGATCTTTTTTCCTATTTTTTCCCATTCATAATCAGGGAAAATCGTATGAAACCCCTACCTTTCAGCTTTTTAGTGAACAATTACTAAGACTATTTGATCCCATACGCTGGAAGTCATTCAGCCGAATTGCTGGACGTATATCTCCATGTGATCATTGGTAATTAACATAATGTTGATGATTTAGCAGAAACCATTCACTTGGTAGAGGTACGAAGTTACGTAACAACTGCATTTGCCATCCATTAGAATACTTATAAGTCACAATACATAGCGAAATTTTTTAAACAGCTACATATGACCAACCGCATGGGATGAAAGAGAAAATTAGTATTCAATAAACTTTTATTGAACAAACAAGTTCCGCAAGACAAATAATGCATGAAGTCGAAGCCGCTGGGTTGAAGTCCGTAAACCATATCTAGGCCACCGAAACCGGTGTTTCAAAAGTTGTGAGGTCAATCAGATTATCAGCAATTCCCCCAAACACACATGGTCGAACTTTGGCGTTACTAACAAAGCGTTGCCACGGGATGGCAACAGTACTTTGGCGACGACTGAAGTCACCAAGCATCACCAGCACAGAACAAAACTACTCTCGCCGACGTATTGTGAACCCTACTTCTCACAATCATGCTAAAATTGGGACGGTGCATAGGATGCTAACCAAAGGATGAAATGACAAAAGAAGACAAATCAAACATCATCTACAAAATAAATTGTGCCAACTGCGAAAAACACTACATCGGACAAAGCGGACGCTTCCTCCACCTACGCCTACATGAACATCGATTAGCAGTCAAACGCCACGACATTTCCTCAATTATATCAATACACGTGGACAACTGCAGACACTAATTTGACTGGAAAAATGTGGAAATCTTGGATGGAGGAAATTCCAAAAACACCAGATAATTTTTAGAAGCCTGGCACTCAGCAATCAACAAGTACATTGAAATCGACCCAATTTATCAACCAATCAGGAAAATTATGCACAAACATAGGGACAAAAACCAAAACAATGGGAAACAACCAAAAGAAGAAGTAAACAATGACAAAGTTAAGGTCAACAAGAACCAATCAACATCGAAGTGTACAGGACAAGCTGTGAAACACGTATGGAGAAATTGGAACGCTTCACTTCTATCTGAATTTTGTGCTGATGATGTCGTTCAGAAGAACGATGAAAGCTATACGACCAAACCATCCAGTTCAGAGAATAAAACTCTATCAAAATACAAATAACATAAACGGTGTACGCACGCACGAGGTTCTGCGTTGTTGCTGACTGAACTTTGCCTACTACTAACTGGTGGCAGCGTCACTACTCAGAAACTGGACTACACGAAACTCGACACTGATTTACCATAGGTTTTTATCTTGGAGCATTTTCTCCATGCCTAAATATGTTACCTATATCAATACTTTATTTCATATTATCGCATCTTTCGGCGCCTGACCGTAAAACGAACGATTGCTTACGATAATCGAAGCCTACTGAGGAGTTTCATGGCCATAGTAACCTAAAATTATTTCAAACTGATACATGGTTAATTTGGGCATTAATCTGCTTCGGATAGCACTCGATATTTCTACTGAGTACCAGTAGGAATCCCATGAATAAATCTAGCTACCAGCGCATCACATTGTCAGGTCAACTTATATTGTGTTAACACAGTACTTATGTTGAATACGTTGAGAAAGGGAAAAAACGCCAGTTACTCAGGTAGACTTTTCTTCTTACGTAATTGTTTTTCTTAAACAAACGGGCAAAGTGCCATATGTTAGTGTAGATAGAAGTTGAATTAACAAACTAATACTTTTAATTTTCACTAGAAATATTTCTGATAGGATCGACTGACATGTATTAAGCCCAGAATCCAGTGTTTCAAGATTGTGACATTAATTGGATTATCGAGTGTCTGAACACTAAGCAGACGCATTTACTATTAAGTGTGAACAACCTTTCGCAGACAGATGATTAACCATTGTCACTTGACACTGATCTCGGATGGCAGTTTTCTTAAACAGGTAGTACAATACCTTTCATTGACGTACTGTTTACTTGGAATTTTACGACTACATTTGATATCCAAAATGAAAAACGGCAAACTGACAAAATTCCACACACCCCTCCTTTTGTTGCTCCCCTTAATTAATATGGGTATTTCCGATGGTCTTCCTCTTGCTCGCGTCCTTATGAATGGAAATAGATTTTACAGCTGGACTAATAGCACGATGACACCACAGATAACCCCAGATTAGTACAAGTCGCTCTGGCTTCTAGCATACATAGATTAACCTTACTTGTGCGTTCAGAACGTTTTATAATCACTATCAACACCGGAAATTCCGGGCACACTACCACGACGTGGTGAATTCTCACATACGAAGAAAGCATTCCATCATGTTGCTGCGTTTCCTAAGTAACGGATGTGTCACAGGTCTCATAATTGATGAATACGAGAAATAACAATACATTCTTCTACGTGTAACAACCCCACCACGTGTTAATCATTCCATATATAATGGCATAAAACTACTCGGAGATTGCACTTGAAACGGATTTCATACTTAATATTAACCACCCGAATCCATTTATGTGTAATTGCAAGTAAGGAATAATTTATTACTTGAATTTCTTTTTTGATCTAAATCAGAAATATTTCACAATAAAAGAAATTACAACAAGGAGATAAATATCAGTTTTCAAATGTCATTTACCATGAGATTCTGAAACTGGCAACCATAGAACGCAATAATTGAATTATGTTTATAGTATCGCCAAAGTAATGTGGGTAATCACAATGCAACCCTTTATATTATCTGGGGGGGGGCATACGATGAAATTAACCAAATCAACTACAAACGAGGGTCTACATAAACGGCATAATAATAACAACCTATAATATTGCACAAATCATGAGCCTAACTAGCCTAACCAGACATAAAATAAATAAAGGCACATTATATGTATATATATCAAAACATTTGTTTTATATAGTAAAATGTCTTAGGGTTTCGTAGAACAAATTAATATTTCATTTAGGATATGTTTTATGCCAATAAAACAATGACTAAAATAAACATGAGTGATTATATAAGCACATAAAAAGTAAAGCTTTAAAGTGGTTGACTTCATAATTAGACATGAATGGATTAATGAATTTAATGATCGGGAGACATGATACCATCAATACAACTTAATGGGACCTGATTCCTCAAATAGAAATACAACATAAATATACCATATGCTAAGCAGTGGAAAGAGCAAAACGAACAAATTATTTATTATTTAACTTTATAAAATATGTAAGGCTACTGCCACATAAAAATATTAGGATCTATTACAAACATAATAAACATGATAGTTGTGACCATGATGAGATAATCATCTACATGACATATATACGCATGAAAAAAAACAGAATAACGACATACTCATTTGCAAGTGGCCATTAATAAGCTAAGCATAATGAAACGCGGGTGTTAAATATACTGAAATATATCAGTTCGCTATCGCACGTCTAAGTTTCGTTTCCGGTCACTCCCGACGAATTTGGTGGACCATTGGATTCCTCTTCTGGAAATTTAGTTGAATCAGATTTAGCATCCGCTGAGTCACCCTTTGATTCAGGCTTTGCACAACCTTCGGCTTTCTCCATTTTCGACAGAATATCTAATTCATCCTCTTGTTCCCCATTAGAACCGCCACCAGGAGCCTTGTCATTTCGCTGACCATTTATCGCCAACGATCCATGGTGTCCGGGCATCAAAGGAGGTGCAGGATAACGTATCAGAGAAATGCCAGCTCTGTCATCTGATATAGGTTTCGGACTAAAGGCAATTTTTAGATGAAAAGGATGAGCGTATCCAGATAAGTGAACTGGCCGATGATTTGCCAAAATGAGGGCCTCAAGAGCCTCAGTCAACGTATCCCATTCTACCAATCCTGTCCAAGAGAAATAAAAACTTAGTCATTTTTCATATTGGATATTTATAATAAAGTTTGGACTTAATGGTTTTACACATTGACTAACTGATTGACGTTTCTCGTCGGAAATCACCTGAAGAGAACACTTTAACGTACAAAAACTGGAATTCAATACAAATATGCGGGAGTCAAGTAGATGTAGAGACAAATAAACTACTATTCATATAATCGAATGTTAACTTGTTTTCCATTTACACTGATTTATAGAATCTTGTCAAATATGGTTATTATTCAGTAACACATAGGCAAACAAGCACGACAATAACTAGACACGATTTTAATACCCCTAATTTATTAAATTTTGGGTAATTCACAAAAGTTCGACTATGTACAAGACCAATGAAAGTACACATATAGGCTACGAAAACTAGATAATCCACTACGTTAGGCATACAATTATTCTTGGTCTGGGGTGATCGCATCTATACGTGTGTATACTATGGAATGTACAGGTTTCTATCTGTGCATTCCGAATATACATGTAATGCATACTTGCGGCGGTTTTACGTTCTATACTGGTGTGTTCATTATAGCTCACAACGCTTTTCGAAGTTTGAGCCCTCAAATGCCCTGATATGGTCGAGGGTAGAGTCAGCTCTCCATCATGAAATGCTCTTACATGTCCACGTGCATACAACCACTACAATGGAAGTCCTACTCACTGCCTTCTCGTAGTATTATTGTTCTTTACGAAATTGACAGGACAAAACGCGAATGTCTGTCGCTTTAACCGGGTTGGCGGATTCCGAGAATCTACCTAGGGAATTTGGAAAACCCTGATTCCAAACCAATGGTCACACGGGATCCAGGATCCTGAGGGAACGAATGTAGTACGAACCTATTGTTGGTAACCGGATACCATGGGACTATATTCCCTAACGTTGATCCACTACCATGTGAATTAGACCTCTAGGTCAAAGACTCGCGGTGTAACCCCTTAGTAAAACCACCTGACTCAGTTTTGGCACATAGGTAGTATCTCAGTCTTCACGTCAGTCAGTCAGACAGTAACAATGTAGAACTTCGTACGCACGTACATCAGTTCGAGTTGCCGTGCCGCATTAGCACAGAGATGCAGTTGTCGATTTAAATCCCGTAGTGGTAGATGTAGTAAGAGTTTAAGCAGTAATCGGAAAGATTAGGGTTTGAAGATGTTATTCAAGGAGTATAATCCAGTGAAATAAATTTGGAAAGAGGGAAACAGGGACATGAAGAGTTCGGAAGATTAGAATTTGGGGGAACACAAAGAGTGGATGCACCTGCGCCATTGTAAACAATTTTGAGCCATGTCATTCAAGGCCTCTAACCATCGGTTGCTTCCATCTCGTGGATCCCAACCAGATAGTCTACATCTACCAACATTGCTCAGTTCACTTGTCAGTGACTTTAAGGATTTGTGCCATGTTTTGGTCGCCCTTGCCTTTCTTCCAACCTACTCCTACACCATAAAACATCGCACGTCAGGGCAGTCAGTGGTTGGGCACACGTAACACGTGTCCCAGTCATTTCAACTGATGAAGTTTCACCACTTCATCAGTTGATTTGCCATCCTTACCCGGTACCCGTTTCCTAACAACTGTTACTTATCCGGCGGTCCCAAGATATACGAGCAATGTTTCGAAGACACCTATGATCAAATACTAGTAAGCTACGAATATCCTATACTCTTACTGATGACAGCCTTCACGTAAATTGAGTGAATTATGTGACGTGTATATATTTGGTCCCTTCTTGTACCAATATCGGTGTTTAAGTAAATAATCAAGTTCGAAGTCTTCGAAGGTGATAAGAAAGTGTAGATTATGATGCGTCCGTCTGCACTTCATAGTGTATGCTCCAATGTGTCCGCCTCACCGTAGATATCGATTTTTCCTAACTACACGTACCATGAACCTTAAACGCGTCTATTTACTTTCCAGTCGCGCACTCTTCGCAAGGCCTTTTCCTCCGACGAGCCTATAGGCTTCTACTTAGTTGAGTGGGAATACTACTACTTAAAGCAGAGATACTTATGGGTTGGTGGAAAGGCCCTACAATATTTTCACATTGATTTGTCTATTTTCCAATTATTCTCACTGAGAGTTACTTGGTGCCCAAACTGATCAATTTTACTTTAAGCTTCAAGCGAACGTCTAGTTATCTTTTCCTTGCACCTTCAAAGTTAGTAACCTTTCATCGACCCTTGGTCAAAAAGTTGGTAGTCAATCCCCTTTATGAGGTCGACATATTTCGTCAAACTTGGGATCAATATATACATGGCACTCACCAATATGCCAAAGACCATAACAAGGATTTTCATGTCAAAATAATCACTGGAAACTACCATCCGAAATAAGTAGTCTCCATAGTTATATGTAACAAAATATTGGAATGTTAGGTATTTGCAGTCGCATTTAGCATACCTTACGAAGCTTTTGTCAGCTGATGCACAGTTATACATTACATACACTGAAAAATTAGCTTTATACTGTTTATATTCTTTCTTTTCAGCAACCAAAGGCTAGAAACTAGTGTCTTACCTCTTAGTGAACTAAACGCAAATGGGACATTTTTTGGAATTGAACAAGAGACCGATACAATTCATAGTGCTGATGAAATGTGCTACGCACTGGACAAAGTATGAAGATTCTGACGGGATTCCGTTATCAAGTACAGATCAGTGAATTTTAAGCTCCTCATGGAAACAAAAGAACATAACAAACTTCGCGTTTTTGAAACAATTATTATCCTGAGGATCAGCAAAGCTCTACTTACTTTAGAGCTGACTAACGGATAGTAGTGTTGTGTACAGGTGTAATCAGTTTAACAGTCGTAATATTTATAACATAAGTTAAACGTTCAATCATGCACATAGTAATTTAATCACTACATTGAAAAAAACACATGACTAAGCTTGTGTTCAGGATTATTGATAAATAACTGGTCAATAGGGATAAATATACTATATGTTCAGTTAATCATTATCAGAACTTACCAAGAGAAGTTTTTTGACCTGCTTTAGAAGTGAATATTACAACACGGGGTGGAGGTATGGCACCACAATCTGAGAACACTCGGCAAATGTCATCTGGACTAAAATTAAGGGGGGCATTGAAGAAATGGAGTGTGCGAGAAGGTTCAAGAATTCTACTTTTGGCAGCCACCATTGAGTTTCGGAAGCGGTTGTTGGGGTCCGCTATAACGTAAAAGAAAGTCCATTAAACTTAGTGCAAGAGAAACCCAAAGCCTGTACAGCAAAAAATTTACAGAAAATCTAAATTTCTTTTGAATCAAAACTGAAGCCGGTCAAGTTGGAGCTTATACAACGGGACAAGTAGAAAAAATATTTGCTCCTCTGTATACTCGTGCACCATAGAATGACAACTGGGGACAATTAAACTTGTCTGACTGGTTAGGCACAAAGGAGTTACAAAACATTCAGACTCAGGAAGCTCAAATAAACGATACTTGCACTGTCAAAGTACACAAGGGCTAAAATTGAGTTGTCGGCCTCCTGAAGATCAACACGATGTTTCGATATCTTCGCAGTCATAAGCAATATAGGACATGATGCATGTGTACATAGGTTTAAATCCTATAACCCATTAGCACAGCGAGCCAATCCCAGAATAACAATGGTAATAAAAGTACTAATAGTATCAAAAGATCAGACATCATAGATCGAATTCGAGGAAGTATACATTTGTGATATGTGAAGAATTAACAGGGAATCAATGAACCTAGTATCTAATTGCGTGGACCTCATCCGAGCAGTCTGAAAACAAGTACATGGCTCATTTCAGTTGATGTATTTGAAGATCAATGTACGTTTGTTGGTAGTTTGTCTTCAAATATCAAGGCCAAGTAACAGATGTAGCATATATTAACTAGTTTTCAGGAGACTAGTGCGAACTGACTTAAAATTATTATGGTTGGCTAAGTAGACATTGAGATCGAATTGATAGTTCTGTTAAATGCGAGAACAGTCAATGAAGACCTACTGATCCTTGTCACCACAAATTTGTGGAAGGTTAAATTTGTGAGATACAATGAGTTCGTCGTAAGAAGGAAATTGCGATGAGAACAAGCCTACACATAGGTCAGTCAGTAAGTTATAAACTTAACACTCGATGGTTAACTTCGCTAATAATAAAGTCCATGCAGACAATTGCTACGATGCCACGCTTAGACCATAGACTGGAACGGTAAAAAAAACTTCATCTAAAATAAATTATAGAGATTTGATGTGCACGAGTCTTTGGAACTGGGGAAATGGAAGTTGCTTATATTTAAGAGGTTTGGCAGGAATCTTCGTAACTATGAATATAAATATATGGAAAGTAGAATACAAAATGTTGGATAGCATTAAAAACTAGCCCCTCCAATCAAATACAACGCTAATATATGGAACACTCTAAGGTACAACAAAAACTCACTCATGTAGTTTTTCATAACTGGTGACCCATCAGCCAATGTCCCCAGATTTTCATGTTCCTTAAGCTCCGTCACCTTGCTGTGATGAAACTGAATAACTTGCCCAAACACACACACTCCACTGAAGTACCGATGTATGAGGTCACCTGTTTCTGGTTTCCGACTTGAACCATTGCATAGCCAGGGCGTGTCTTCAGGAACTTAATTCGTGCAACATTACCATACAGACAAATTAAATTGAACAGATGATCACAATTCATGCGCTGTGGTATATTGCTGGCCATTAAAACTACACCTTCAATAGCTTCAAAAACTGACAAGTCCGATTGACGAGCAGCCGGAGTTGATACAGATAGGTTTGATGTTGAATGACCAATCCCAATTCCGCTAGCATTTACTTGATGAACTGAAGGAGGGGTTGGAAGTATTATGATTTGTGACGGTGGTGTGAAACCAGTCGAAGCTTGTGGCCTGAGTGACTGGATACCAGCAGCCGGGATCATGTTAGGTTGCCAGTAACCTGGATATGGAGAGGCAAACGGTGTCACGGCAGGGACAGCGCACGCCGGAGGAATAAGTGGACCCACTCCATAGTAACCCATCGGTGCTTGGGAGGGAGCGTAGGGTTGTGCGCCATACATCGGAGACACTTGTGGGAATGGGGTGGCTGCAGGAGGTGGTAAGATTGCAGGAGCTACGGCTGAATTGGGAGGCGGAGCTACTGAGCCAAGTAGCGTACGCTGAGTGGAAGAATTGTTCAGGGGTCCTTCTAAATTGCCACTTGGACCAGTGAAATCCCAGGACTCACTATCGTTCTGAGTCACATGAACACGTTGAAGACGGGAATATGCAACCGTAAGATTACAACAACCGGAATATATGTCAGCACCATCAAGCTGCTCTTTGGCTGCTCTAGCCTCTTCAACATTTTCAAATTCAACAAGAGCTTCTAGTGAACGGTCAACATTCTTTTTCCCAATAAATGTTCTCAGGATGTTCCCATGAGGAGAACAGATTGCCTTTATTACATCGACAGTTATTGGGTATTCAGCATTTGAAATATCTAAATGAAGAATGCGTGTAGGGGCATTGTTGTCCAAGGCTGAAGACTGTGATTGGTGTTTGCGGTCAATTACAGGAGTAATTGTTTCGGAAGAAAATTCCAGCCTAACGCGATTAGGACCGACACAAAAAGGGTTGATTTTCGCCATGTGGACAAGTCTAGTGGGAGGAGAAATTTCACAAAACTCAACAAGAGCAGCTCGACCACTGCATACCAGCTTGGCATTTTTAATCTGCCCGTATCTGCTGAAAAGACCAATCAAATCCCTTTCTGTACAACCTTCCGGGATGTCTGCAACGACAATAGTGCAACTCGGTTGATTAGTAACTAGGTAGGAGATATCAGTTGCCAGGTGAAGGCTTCCCGGTACTGTCCCTGTAGTGTTGTAGAACTGAGCGGTAGCTGCGGCAAGAACATCATACCTTGACCGTTTTGCAGGGTGCGCCATTTCCGACGGAAATCGATGTGGCCCGCGGGGAATTGAAACATAAATTACTGAATGTCTTTATTTGGTTAATATCAGTAAATACAGGCTAATATCCACCAAAACATTTATAGTGACACTTAAGCTTATGAAAAAATACATAAACCTCAAAAGGTCATCTTCTGAAAAATAGACAAAGGTTGAGCAGATTTTGTGAATTATCCCAACCCTTGAACCTTATCCAGAAGGGTCAACTTCAATTAATGGGTGTAAATTATTTTGTTTGAAATCATGTTTTTCTAGTGCCAGCCCAATTCCATAATGGTTCTCGCTTGAACCCACCTTCTCCCCTAATTTCCTTCTAGACCTCGATCTTTGCATCTTAACAGTTCTTCCTTGCTTTCCTAACTCAACTTGTATGTTTTGAATGCAGACGTGTGTTGCCAATATCCAATATCTTTATGACGAGCTTGTATAAACTGAATAATCAGTTCGCTCTCGCTTCTTGTCGTTTCTGTACGGTTGAAGGCGTCTTTAGTATTCAGCGCGTGGTGGTCTGCACACTCAATAACACTAATTCTAGTCAGGATGGTAGTTAATTGTGGATCTGCATATCTTCTTATCAAGATAGATGTGTTTATGTTTACCACATTATTCTTTCCATTTTTCGTCATTTCATCTGCTTCAAAATTACTAGCTGGCCTCGATTTACAACTTTCATACTCGATGACTGAAATTTATCCGAATATTTATCATTATACGTTCCTGCAAATATATTAGTTGATAATACGTACAACGGAGCCTAATAAACCCCTAGTACGCCATCACTAGATATTTCACAACCTGAAGACCTACTACTCTTATTATTATACTCCTTTTCGATGCTAAGACTACCCATACAAAAAGTTCCAACGGGTTGAACATTTTCTCGACATGTGACATTCAGTCAATAGCTTCACATCACACACACGTGATTAGCACTTCGTGGTCAGATATCATAACAAAATTGGGAGTTTCCAAGTTTTCAAGTCTTACTGTACACTTAGTTTTTAGAAGAGCCATGTTTATAACAGATACTAACCGTCAATAACTTAAGTGACGAGAGACCGTCTCATGAAACCCATGAAAACACTGGTTGGGCCGCACTAGATTGGTGAAGATGTGTTCCACCAAATTTGGTCTGAATAACTACCGCATAAACCTTTGAACCTAAGTAAAACCTGCATTGTTAAGTAATTCCCCAAAATAAACAGAACCAATACCATTCGACATTTATTCTAACCTTGTTAGTTCTGACTTACACTACTAACCAAGGGTGTTCGGCTAGGTATCGTAGCCGTATCTTGAGACTAATTTGGTCGACAGCAAAAAACAAAATGTCGAAGATCAACCACATGCCTTTAAGTTCACGAAGCCACTGAGCTGTGGAAAATACTTGACATTCAGAGAGTAAAACCAACAAATGATACTTTCGTCAATAATGTAAGGCAGTATGATCGACTAATGTGACGATGTCTCAAGGCATTAATTGACGTTACTTGGGATTAAGCAAATACCTTTATCTTTCTAAAATCTTGATTCCAAAAGCCTCAAAAAATAAGTCTGCAATAGAGAACACCAGAAGTACTTGTCTTCCAAATCCAAGATTAAGTCTCGTCACCTGACTTCGCAACTTTTACTTTCTGGTGGTTTTAAGAGTGGCAAGGTAAATTTGCAACTTCAGGCACGTTTTCTTCTGCGTAGGGATACTGAGCGCTATCCCTGTTCTCACTAGAAATTTCATGTCAGAGTTCGTTTCTCCAATATCTCCAACACAACTACTTTAAAGACCAATATCGTTCCGAAATATCGGTGGGTTTTAAGGCTCAAAGATTTGGTGAAGTACTTAGTCAGAATGTTCTGTCATACGCAGTCGGTCTTAAAAACCGAGCATATCTTATTTCTGTTTTGTCTCAAAGTCCTCTCAGGGAATTAACGTTCAAACTAGAGAAGTCAATGATAAATCATTTTAACCAGTGTATCTGTCCTGTTTATAATGGGCTAAGAAAAACCCAATAAGAGCAAATGGTTCAAATGGTTCCAATGGTTGTGGACGGAATAGAAGAAGCTTTCGCTTTACAGGCTTCCGTGTCAAGTAGCAGGGGATCACCAAATCCTCCAGGCAGGAACCTAGGCATTTTAACAATAAAAGAGGGAAAGAAATTAGTAAATCATAGTGTGATACTATCCTTAGTCCTTAAGAATAGATCAGGTTGCCTCTTAAAGGACTCCTGGGAAGTTGCTTGGACTAGCTCGCTCGGCAGCGAAGTCCAGCAGTTGACAACTCTTAAGGAGTAGAAGTTATGTCTATAGTCCATTCTGCTATGTTGTGTCTCTAGTTTTTGAGTGTTACCTCTTAGGTTAGTGTTGGAACTAAGCTTAAGTAGGTGTTTGAGAGGATGTCCAGAAGTGTTAAGGATACTATAAGCCATCAGAAGGTCACCTCTAAGACGTCTATACTCCAATGGGTAAAGGTTAAGTGAATGGAGGCGCTCTTCGTAAGGTTTAAATTTGAGTCCTCGAACTGATTTCGTGGCTCGCCGTTGGATACGCTCCAGGGTGTCCTTATCCTTTTGGAATGAGAGGGGAAATACTATGTTTCCGTACTCTAAATGGGGACGGATAAAACTATTGAAGATTATATGGAAAGTTCTTCCGTCAAACTGGCCAAAAATGCGCTTCAACGTTACCAGTGCAAGGTTTGCTCGGAAGGCATTTTTGTCACAGTTAGCGTAAGACTTTAAATCATGGGGCACCAGGACTCCTAAATCTTTTTCGACTTGGGATACTACTAGAGAGGAGTTTCCTAAGTTGTAACTGTAGTTTGCGACATGTCGCAGATGGACTACTTTACACTTTGAAGTGTTAAAGGTAAGTCCGTTATCGTCTGCCCAACTTTGAAGTCGAGTCAGATCCTCCTGAAGTGCCTGTATATCGTCTTGGTTGCGTATCTCTCTCCAAAGTTTCACGTCGTCGGCAAAAAGTAATAAGTCTGACGTTACCTGTTGAGGAAGATCATTTATGTAGATCAAGAAGAGAAGAGGCCCTAGTACTGAGCCCTGGGGGACCCCACTAGGACATTCCATAGCCTGAGATAAAGTGAAATTAACCCTAACCTTAAAGTGTCGATTTTTTAGGTATGAAGTAAGCCAATCGATTAGAGGTGGTTTGATACCTAGTCGTTTGAGCTTATTGATAAGACACAAGTGGTTAACCTTATCAAAAGCTTTTGAGAAATCAAGGTAAATGATATCAACCTTTCCCTTGCGATCGAGGATGCTTGTCCATCTGTCCACCGCAGTCAGCAGGTTGGTTATACAAGAGTAACCCTTCCTGAAACCATGCTGTTGGGGTGAGAAGAAATTTAAGGACAGAAATAGTCATTTATACCATCGCATATCAGGGACTCCATGATTTTGAAGGTATGGAGAGAAGAGCCACCGGTCGGTAACTTGAAGGTTCGCTGCGTCGACCTCCTTTGAAAATTGGTGTGATGTGAGCCAGCTTCCAATTTTCCGGTAGTTTTCCTCGACTTAGCGAGTGTGAGAACATCACGCTAAGCGGCGTTGCCAAGATTGAGGCTGCTTCCCTCAGTATGGCAGAATGAACCATGTCCGGGCCAGGAGAAGTGTCTAATCTTAAGTGCTGCAGTTTCCGGAACACCAAGTCAGCGCTTAGGTTCACTTCGGAAAGTCCTGTGGAATTGCAAACGAAACTGTCATCAGTAAAGTTAATGTCGGTCGGTTGAAATGTCTGGGAGTAATGTTTAGCCAGAAGGTTAGCGGCGTCGCCATCGTTGTTGGTCGGGCCGTTAAGACCTACCAGTTGGGAAACTCCAGTTTTGGCTTGACGAAGAGAGGCTGCATAACGGAATAGGCTTTCAGGATTAGAGGCAAATTTGTCCATAAGCTTTGTCTGGTACTGAAGCCTACTTCTCTTATAGCCTTCGTGCATATGTTCCTGATATGTTTATATTGCCTGTACGCTCCGTCGTTGTCAGTTCGTTTGTATTCCGCCCAACAGTGCCTTTTGCGGCTTAGCAGGCGAAGGGTACGGTTCTTGATTATTGTAGGTGGCTTGCAGCTTTTGGGAACCGTTTGAGGAACTGAATGGTTTGTAGCACGTAAGAGCGTGTGCAGTAAGAAGTCCCAATGACCGTCCACATCGAGTTGAGGGTGAACATCCCAAACCGCCGTGTAGAGCTGGCACATTCAACCGTTTAAAATTCCAACGCAAGTTATTGGTGGGGTATCTTAGCTTAGTTTTGCTGACAAAACTGAAGGCTATGACGGCATGATCGCTTCTCCCCAGGGGAGCCAGGATTGAGAGGTTGTCAACTAGAAATTCTTCGTTTGTGAATACACCGTCTAAGCGCGATGGTGTCTGACTGTTTCTCCAACGAGTTGCCGACCTCACATTTTCGTACAATCCCAAGTCATCGATGAGGTTGAAGAACCGAGCTTCAATTGAGTTGTCGCCTCCAGTATACGTGTGTTCTGCGAAGTTGACTCTAGGGAGATTAAAGTCCCCTAGAATCAGGATGTGTGTGAAACCGAGACGAGTAGAGCGGGATAGCCCTACCAACATACGACTATCGTACTCGATGTCGGCAGTTGGCTTCCTGTAAATGACTCCGACTAGACACCTCGAAGTACTGGACAATCGTACGGAGCATCATATAGATTCCTCAAGATTGTTAAACTCGAGGTAATGAGCTCAAAAAACGTGCAAGACGTCGAAACAATGAACAGTTCAATAGCGTGCGATGAGATAAGATATGTCAGTGATACGAAATTCCGACATATTTAGAAACATGAAGGTAGGGCTGATGAGCACAAACACTTCTTGTTTTATGTATGTATATACTCACTCACTACACCAGGAGAAAGTAGATGATCCGTAATTATATACTTGAAATAATCTACTGAAGAGAAAAGGATTGCCGCAGTATTAACGGAGTACCAGAAAAAACAGACTAGTAATGTGACGATTGGTTACTTGAGAGTTACCACGTGGGTCAGTGCTGTCATACATAGCTAGAAATATTCTGTCGGGTACCCAAAATTACTCGATTTAACATGTACTGTATGAAGGGCCCTTTGTTCATCTATAGTCCAGCGAGAGGAGTTGTAGCTGATGATCCCAGTGATAATTTAGTTTATTTCCTAGACCACTAACTCGATTCCACTTCGCTGCACCTGCTCCGACATATTCAATCTAATGTGATTGACTCCTAGGTTTGGACAGATCTATATCCTGAATATTTCCTAAGGTAATTTGAGGAACAAGGCAAGTCACATTCCCAATATTTTTGCCAGAGGGAATGTGTGAGACGCGGTATGGAATGCTTTGGCACGATAATGAAATAGTGCATACATAAGCACTTCCCACGCCTAGCGGTATTTTCGACTGTCCCACAACAACAAAATGTTTATCTCACAAGACCTGGCTTATCTCTATTCATGGTGAGATAGTTTTTTATCAATAAATTCCTTCATTTTGCCGTCTACTAAACTTCCCAGGATGTATAATAAAATGTGGAAAAAGTTGCGCGTTTGTAATAGCTTTAATCCTTTCTATCTAATTGGTTTAAAAGTAGTAAGAGAACTATGTTTTTCACTTTTGTGGGAGATTATGAGAATCGATTGTATGTTCATCCACTGGTCGGTGTATGATACCAATGATCCACTTCAGGATAGTTGATAACACATTTGACATTAATTCGGATACTGTCTGGACATTGCTTCTGACTACAGTCAAAACTAGAGCTGTGAAATTTGTTGTTCGGTTCTAATGGGTATTCATTTGCTCACCAAAGTGTTCGTTAAGTGCTTTGATAACTTTACGGGTCGTAGAACATATGGAATGAAGACCGACCACGTTAGTCTCCTGATTTATATCTTTTTCGAGTGTTGTAAAGAGACACAGAGGATTTCGGATCTGACTGTGTTGGTTCGTCAGACTTGTTTGGAGAAACCACAAAGTCTTTCAACGCCAGTTTACTAAGTGCATATTGTGCTAATGGAAGTTGATCGTCTTAAGTGTGATTCACTTTGCCTACCCATATAAAATAGTCTCGAAAATTTTTATTCAAGCCATTTTTTCCTGATAAGTTTATGTGACTCCCAACCGACTCGACATGGACCAAATCACTCTCAATTTTTTGACTGAACTTTTACTATCTGACCTTGGTTAAGACGTTTGGAATAATCCAATTTGTTGCTGCATGGTCCTAGAAAGTCAGCAATAAGGATTTTCTTACTAAATTCAGGGTTTCAGAGTACAGAAATTGTTAATCTTTAAGCGATTGTGTCATGAAGCTTGGACTGTGTTACACTGCTTACTACTTTACACGTACAAAACTTTTTGTCAAATGCTAAACGTTCAGTGTACATCTAACATTGTGTTCGACTTCATGATACGTGCAGTTAAGAACCAGTGTTGTTCAACCATTACAACAGCTTGGCTGTGGTTGTCAGTGTTACACCCGAAGAGAATATGATTTTTTTATGCTGTTTATATTGGTTATGTTATATTATGTGCGACTGGTTAACTTCTCGTTCTTCCATGGTAGAATGGTGGTGTGTGATTGTGCTGAATATTTTTGAGTTCTTGTTATTTTAAACGATTAATTTGTTTTTTATAGGTTACATACTAATACTATATTGCTAGTTACTACGTTGCTGCCATTTTTAGAGATATCTCAAATACCGAACCATGCCACTTTCTATTAACGTTTTCTTTATTAAGCTTTCCCGTTCACCAGCTTTGTTTCTACGGTCACATTAATTCTAGAAAGGTACGTGTGTTGTGAGTTGCGATTGTAGCCTTTCAAGGGTTCTTACAGGTCCGAAGCCCGGATAAAGGAGGGAAGTTGGCCGACCCAATCTCGTAAAAACAAAATTGACGACCAAACGCTAACCGGAAAAAAACAACTTCAACCACCTAAACGTTTACTTAGGAGTTGGTGGATCTTCATTAAGAAGAACTAAAAGTACTGTGTAGGTTGTTAATGAGCAATAAGTAGGACCATGATTCACTGGTTGAGCACTGTGGTACTTCAGTTGCTATTGGAAATTCTTTAGATAAAATGATGCGAACTCTGGCGCATTGTAGCCTCTTCCTGAGTAATCTAAGTGCCAATTAATCTTACAACGCTCCTGAACGTTAATTACAGCTAAAGGCACAGAATTTGACGACCAAGCATAAAAGATATCCTCGAGAAATCTAAAAGTCCTATGTACCGTACGATTACGTTTCATGAGATCTATCTGCTCCAGATAATCAATAGGTTCACCATTGACCATCAGACATCTACATTTGTGAGTAAATAGCCGGTTGTCACCTAGTGAATATGTCACAAGCCGCACATTTTCGACCCCAAAATAGCCTCTGCAATTTCTCACTTTACATGTCGCAGTTCCAACACCGTGCTTTATTAGTTTTCACTTGTTGTATGCTTCGTATTTCTGTTTAATAGCAACTAAATAACCATTTTTTCCGAGTTTCCCTTTGATATCCACAATTATTGATGGTGTTGCACACATTAGTTCTCACAAATTCCTCTGACCATGACCCAATAATACTTTATTCAACCAGAGACTACTTGAGTAAATTTGTCTCACTTCTTACATAGGGTATTTACGTTGGTGATCCACAAAAGTTACCTATGAATGTGTAGAATTATGGTCTACTAGGATATTAGTACTGCTCGAATAATAGACCTAATCCTAAATTTGTAGATTTGTCATGATATAACTGCCTAATCTATAAGATCTTACGTGGTAGTCACACCATCGGCTACACCAACTCACTGTATAGTATCAATTACCAATACATGATGTAGAACAAGGTTAGGCTAGTGAAAGAACAATATATTTAATATGAAGATATAAGGTAACATTCAGATGGACCACGCCTGCATGGCCGAGTCATGCCATTCGATCAACTCCAGTTCATTCCATTCATTGTTCGCGCCTTCTCCATTGTTAGGTATTTCTCCGTGTTAAATATTGAATATCTATTTTCCGAGTAGTGTTGTGTTCAGCTTTGAAGATTGTGTGGTTATTGTCCAATGCTACTAGAAATGCAGTGACAGAAACGAACACAACGATGTCTAAAACATCGACAGGCGTTCCAGAAATCTAGTGGAATAACGGCAACTTTTGCGAGAACAAGATTTTAGTAGAGAAGTGAGCGTAATATGTTAAACTACATTTGGTATGACAAACATATCCATATAAATGAATAAAATAATTTATACAAACTTTATACGATAAATAAAAAGAATTGCACAAATGGAATTAATTTGGTGAAGACATAAATGATAAAATTTGCACGTTGATTAAATCTAAATTAATCTTTCGTGCCTGTAGGTAACCGTCGTGCTATTGATAGAAGAAACCAGACTAGCAGTGAATAGGTCTTTATTTAGAATACCGTCAATAGGCGATGGCAACTGCTTTAGTTTGAGGCTAGACTTGTTTGTTGTAAGCAGGTTTCGTAATTCTTGATCCTATTCTTGTCTGCCCTTCAACGTCTCGAAATTCACTGTAGACTGTTGTATCACAGTCATTTCTAGTCAAGATAATGCATCTGCCGCCTGGTCTTCCTGACATTTGACTAGAAGATTACCACTTGTGGACTGTGATATATAGTCGAGGTGTTGGACTTCTCAAGGTGAGTATTTATCGACTCTAGCTCTTAGTGCATTGGTCAGTGGTTTGTTATCCGTAACACCTATGAATTCCCTGCCTTCTAACATGTGTCGGTAGTGCTAAATGGTCAAGTAAATTGCAAGAAGTTCTCGCCCGAAAGTAAAATATTTTGTCTTTGCAGGAGTGAGTCTCTTGAGGAGAAAGCAATTGGTTTCCAGGCGTTTTTAACAAGTTGGTTAAGAGTACAGATGAATATAGTGATTCTTCTGTCAAATTAATGTATTTTGACGAAGAATTTGACATGTTTGGTATAGAAGTCATGGAAAAGTAGATGCAATACAACATTCGATTGGGTGATGAAACGCTATTTTGATGAAAAGTCAAAAGTGGTGTGCTCTCAGTTTAGCCTCGGGTTTTATCACATTTCTAGCTTTTTAAGGGGAAAAGTGGGTCTTATAGAGACAGCATTTCAAGGGTCAACACACTTAATCTTGAGACTAAGACTCATTTTTGTTTGAACCTGCTGACTGTCTTGGAACACTAAACAAAGATACTGCGCAAGTTTTGAGATCTCCTGTTTTGGGTAGGAGTCCCCATGTTAGCACTTGTATTCTTGATTATCGAATTCTTTTAGCTTGACTCCTGCGGTATTGGCAACTATTATCGACTTTCTTTGCTAACAGATATAAGTACATCCCATGCCCACACTGACCCGTCGGGTCACGGACGTTTTTTATTTTTCTCTTGGAAATTTCCAGCTTCACACACGATGCTCCATACGCCCATTCCCATCAGAAAAGTACATTTGGGCTAAACGCGAACTTTTACACTTTTGATGAAAACAAAATCTGATGCTACCAACTTCTAGTTACGACTGTCAAATTGTCTTTAGTTCAGGCTCGTATCAATTTCTCAGTCTTCAATAGGAAGGATAGGAGGTCAATCGACCCATATTAATTACTGGAATTTGTAGTATTGCGGAGATCCAATCTCGCTTTGAATGTGTTTATAGGAGGTGATGATATTGCACGTCATTTTAGAGAATTCACTACTCGGTCTTAGAAACGGAACTCCAGACGTAAGGGATTCGATCTCGGTTTTTTTAGCCTTCTTAGAATGTCTTCTCAGATGATCAATCCCTGATGAAAGAAAAAGATACGAAATCAATACCAAAGTCATCATCGTGTTTACACTGAAGTAGTATTAGGTCACAAATGACCTGTATAAGATAATGGAAATAAGTTGAGGCGTCTCGGTCTGTCTTCCTAAGATGGGACAGAGAGACTTGCCGTCTTGATACCTCGCCTCTAAACTCGTTCCAGCATATCCGCCTCATAATTGGAAAAGTACTCGCTGCTTGAATTCCATATTCCGAATGTGGTCTCACAAAAGTCAATTGTAATACCCTAAACCTTTTTCCGTCCAAGTAATGCAATGACTTAAAAATAGCCTGTATGACCCTGGAGCCTTTGGTAGAAGCGGCCTTGCAGTTATTCGTAGTTTTGAGGTTGTCGCTTGTTATGACTAATAAATTATAGTCTCGCCACTCCTAGATCTTTATAGTCCAATAATTTACGCAGCACAACTCCAAATATTGTGTAATGATATGGATCGTAGAAGTTATTTATTTGCATCACAATCCTGTTGCATTTAGCTTCCAACGATAATCAGTATAACATTCAACCTCTCACAAACGTGCTTAGGTTTAGGTTGTAAAGCTTAATAACACTACAGAGAAAAAAATTACCAAAGAAGTAAGTTAGGATGAACAGAAGGTATGCAAGCTAATAGGGTGTAAGTATTAAATGACTAAAATGGTGTCCAACTATTCAACCAACTTAACTAGAGCTTCCAACTACTGGTTTTTGATACCTATAACGCAGACTAAATAATAGGCACTTCTGTACACAGGTCAGACCATAATCTGTCGTCTACATATTTTGGCTGTTATTTTGTCCGTAACAGTCTTGATTAGCTCTTATAATATCAATGAAGTCTTTAGCCAGTGACTTTTTTAAATAGGTGGTAATTTTTTGCCGAGAGTACCCACTTAATAACTAATATTTATTGCTAGTAATGCTACAAAGTTAAATGATTGTCAACCAAAAATGGGATTCCACGAATGATGAAACTAACAAGTTGAATTATCTGTTTGAAAGTAGTTCTTTGTTGCCGTCAGATCTGATCAATTATCCTAACCAAATCGGTGGTCATGGGCTTCTATTTGGAAATAAATGTAAAAGTAAGTAGTTTTAAATTAATATTTGAATGATTCCGTTATTTTTAACGTATGTTTTGAATTGTTCTAATTGTGATTTTAGTCGATAGATTTCGTTAAAATGTCGTGAGTTGGTTTCAGTTCCAAATTGTTACACCAGCTTGTCATTAGATATTAACCAATTTCATATTGCCTAGTCCTATGTGCTAACCAAGTTGTGTCAAAAAAGTTTGCTGTGTGCACACCAAAGTATATTTGTAAGTGCACACAGAACACTGAAACATGGTCTGTTATTACATATTAAGCTGTTAGTGAAGTGGATTTTTTCATCTAGTATAAATTGTAACATTGGTTGTACAATTTGTTTTATTAGTTACTTTGAATCATGTTCACTGGTATTATATTGCTCTCTAGACACTGGTTAAAGTAGCTTAAGCTATTGGCACTCAAGTATTTCATATTTGTCCTAAAAGTCATCCTATCCACGATAGTTTGGACGTTTTAATAGTATTATTAGCATTTATGCAATATATATGTCTAGAATGATATAACCTATGAGAAAAGTGCCAACGAATGTGACTTTCTGATTACTTGATCGAATTTTCGTTTCCTATGTTTTTAAACGCGTTTATTCATCTACCATTTTTCCTGTCAAAAATGTTTACTTCGTTATTAATCCGAATTTGTGTAAAATGGAGATTCATTCATACATTTAAAGTGATTGGTTCTCGGCTTGTCCTTAGGCAAGTTTATGTAACATTGTTTCTTATAGATATCCGTGGCATCTAATCAACAGTCGAAAGTCTTATTTTAGTTTCAAGTGCTCTCAAAAACTAACTACAGAAGGGAAAATTTAAGAGATTTTGGTACTGGCATACACTCAGTGATTTTATTTATCATGTTCCTTATTACGTGGATGAGTCATCAAATAGAGGTTTCTTGTACTAGACTTGGTCATATCTGATATGATTATCAATACACTACGCGTTAGGTAAACCAAATTGGGGTTGGGTTTTGAAGTAACGTACTACCTATTGCGCTGTTCATACAACTTGCTCGTAGACATAAACCAGCCACAGTTTACTTACAAACTGGATTCTGGTAAAACTGTGAATTGAGTTTATAACGTTGTTTTATAGTAACTTTAACATCAGTAGATTATAGAATAACAAACTGATTTAAAACAATATGTTCTGAGTTTGGGTTTGTATGTGAACATAAATACTCATCGAAATTTGGCTATATGTGGTCGTGAGATAAATTTAGGACCCTCAATTTTTCCATTTTTTTTACCACCGAAACTGTCGTAAAGTTAGTATTTTAGGATTAATATTTCAGGGTAGATAAAACTCATGTCTTTGTTATCTCAAAGCGTAACATACTGAACCGATGAACCTTCATGTGATATTTGTGCGTTCTTGTGCATTTAGCATTGGATGTGCTTTTTTATTCTTGTGATATACTTATCCACCAACTAATTAGATATAATAAAAGTAAGTGGGTTCCCATGACCATTTATTTTTCACTTATTGTACCTGATTACTCACATATAAACTGTCTATACCGACCAGGTATTATCCTTGTATACAGAATTTTCGACTAACAAAATTAAGATGAGTTAATAAGATGGTCCAAGTTGAAATCATTTGGCTGGTGAAACGACAGTTTCTGGACGACCTTTGAGCAACGCTAAAATGACCTTGGATTATATATTAGTGTGAGGTACTAGAATTAGGATTAACAGTTGAACATTAGGGTTAAGAATCGGGTTTATTGTTTTCATCACGAACCGATACCAACTGTAATGCCAAAATAGTATTCAGCCGAATGAATGAATTTTGCTTCAAAATCCAAGATCTACTATCTTAAATCTGATTGTGCTGGTCTATAAATTATGGTCTTGCCGTTTGGCTTTAAAGAAAATAATATACAGCAAATATCAGTAAATAGATGAAGTTGTGTTTGACAATTTAGTTCTGCAGTTACTTACTAGGTAGTTGCAGATTTATTTTTCTGTGCTTATCATCTTAATATTCTGCTTCGCTTATACCAAAGCGAAATGTATAATAGCACAATATGACAAAGACAATTCAATATTTTAAAGAGGTATATGCTAATATGTCATATATTTAAATCAGAAATACAACGTATTAATGGAGACAGTTGAAATAAAGTACATGAAATGTACTATTTATGAAAAAAACAATACAAACATTAGTATCATGAATAGCTTATATTCTAAGGCATTTATAGTAGCTTACCGAAATATTGGGGTTTACCACATTCAGGGCTTTAAACAAAAAGATTTAATAAACCGACGGATCCTAGCCTACCTCAACCGTGCCTATCTCGCCTCAACTTTCGCTATGCATAAATGATTCTCATTCGGCATGACACCGCTACCATTTTGTCAAACACACTAATTTCTCAACTTTTAGCTGTTCATCAGTAAAAGTTAGCGCAGTAACAGGCTTCTTTCAGACTTATAAATGTATTTTGAAATCGATGACAATACAAAGTACGCTAACACTAATTACCAAGTAAACGAGATATGAGTAAACTGTTTTGTCATTATCATGCTGGCAGATTATGCATAGAGTCAACGAGGAGATGGTTTAAAATTATGTTTACTAAAATGCTTAGAAGATTTCCAACTCACTTAACCATAAAAATATTAAATTTCACATAATATTGAACTATCGCTTACTGTTTGTTAGACAACACAACCAACAGCATCTTCTAATGTTTAGTCTCGATTTCTGTACAGTTTTGGAAGTACCACTCCATCGTTCAGTTGAATGACCTAATATCATTTATTTTATTCTATATCAAGTTATATCTTAATATTTTCTACCGGTACGTAAATTATCACCCATTGAAAATCTTCATTTTATATCATAGTTAATGGTGTATGGACTAGCTACATAATTAGAACTTTCTATCTTTTATAATTGTTACTAATTCAATTTACTAATGTGCTATTCTGTGTTCTATTCTCTTCATCTTTTCTCAAATATCCTAGTATTATATTCACATGTTCAGTCAACTATTTATAAACCAATACAACATTATCCTAAAGGTCCACATGAATTAGAATTTTATCAACGTTTATTCGATCCAAATTGTAATGATTCCGTTTTAGTTGAGTTACGAAAATTTGTGCCTGATTTTTACGGCCTCTATCGAGATTCTGAACAAAAACGTTAGTTAATATACATAGATTTGTTAATGTATTAAATTTTATTTATTTATATATTTGAACATATAAATACTGGTACAAGGGGGCACCAGATACATGTGGACCACATAAATCTCATTTGATTTTTGTGGGGGCTGTGATACTGTCCGGGTGCCTAAAACAAAGCAGGTGCTTTTCTTAGTGGGCCACACCTGGAGCCTTCGACCTAATTATATAATCCACAAGGTAGTGGAACAACGTAAGGAAATGCAGTCCTATGGTAGCCGTTGACCAACAATAGGTTCATACTCCATTCGTCCCCTCAGGATCCTGGGGCCCATGTGACCATTGGTTTGTAATCAGGGTTTTCCAACTGCCCTAGGTGGATTCTCCGTGTCCACTAATCCGGTTAAAGCGCCAGATACTCGTTTTTCGTCCTCTCGATTCCGTAAACAACAGCAACGCCACGAGAAGGCAGTGAATAGGACTTCCCTGTCAGAGGCTATAATCGCGTGGTCATGTGAGAGCATTTGGAGAGGGAGAGCTGACTCTCCCCACTCTCGGCTGTACCACGGCATTTGGGGGCTGTTAAATTTATATACTATTTAAATGATATACTATTGATGAATATTAAGAAGAGTAAACTGGTGAGGAATTGTTATTTATTAATAACTGATAAACAGACTTAGTAAGAGTTTTACACCATTTATATGGTAGCAACTAATATTAGAGTTCTGCATATTGTCTTAACATTAGGCATCAGAGAAATGAAGACTGGAAAAACATTAGACTTTAACAAACGATTGAAAGAGGAGAGACATAGAAAAAAGCAAAACTCAGAAATATAGTGGCAGTTTGATCAGTAATACTTGCTATTCACTTGTACAGATTTCAAATCTTCCTGACAATTATTATTGTCCTGAAAATCTCAGTAGGGAAGTTTATGTTTCCATTCTTATAGGACTTGTAAATTCTCGAGTAAAACTGTCAAGTTAAGGGATCTAAAAATGAGTGGTCAGGGACCATACGTAGGCGTATGCGTAAGAATATGAGTTTCTTTGTTTATTTGAGGTACATTTCACACCTTAGTAAATGTTAGAACATTTAAACTCACAGGTCAAATAGCTAAACCATCAACTATAGCTTTGTTTGCGAAACATGAAATTTTCCTCTGGTCTTATCTGTTGTATCTCTCGCGTCTTGTACTGTTGTTATATTGTCTGTCTTTCCCGTATGGTCTCTCAATAAAGAAGTAACATAAGGGTTAAATCACTCGACACTCAATTATAGGATTGCAAGTTCAAACTTCACTCTACCTGCTTCAGTTTTGACAGCCTACTAGTATAACTCACCTTTAAGCAAAGAGTACTTTGTTATTAAGTCTTATCAACCAGTTATCAACCACTCGACTTGAGGGCGAATTCGTATTGACGACTGTACTGGAGTGTGACGACAGTGAGGTGTTTCTTTTAGATAATCAGTATCTACAGCAATACTGCCTTTACCCAACAGAAGAGAGGAGTTAGAACAGGTTGACCTTGGAAATTTTACTCCACATATTTCCGTATTCGGCGGTAAGGCCTTTGAAGTACGTAGCTGACACATCAAAACCTCGTAATATGGCCAAGTATGACTGGCCTCAAGTAGTTATCCCTTGGTATCTGCTGTCAAGCTCTCAGGTTGCTAAAGCTACTACTAATCCAGTTTCCTTAACAAGTTCTTTAAGAAAGTGTATCTTTCCATGGTATAAATGACCGGGAAGTGACAACCTCTCATGATTCTAACAGTAATAGAGAACCTCTTGTTCATAACTAAAAATATAAGGAATCTATGTCGTCTGATACAAATCAAGCATCTTTATACTTAGGAGAATCATGTTCCTAAGAAAGTTCCAACAAGTAGCTACACACTTGGAAGCATATGTCTGGCTGTCTATGGTGTTGTGAGTCATGAATTTGATCGGTAATGGGGATTCTATACATTTAGAATGTTAAGAAATAGTCAGCGTTAGATGTCATTTGAAACCGAACACAACTTGAAGGTCGTCCGGTGTAATCCGATGTTTAACATTATTAGATTTTTTATCAATTCCTGAATATTTATTATGTGGTTCCATTTCCTGAAGATTTAACTGTTACCCTAAATTCATACCTGTTAAATATTTTCAATGTTTTTCTTTTTTTATTCTTTCACTCGCTTATTATTTAAAAAAAAAATTCAACTCAAGATAGATTTGTACTTGGGTTTAAAAGATTTATTGGCTAATTTTAAACATCCATCATTATGCGATTTAAAAATGGGTCGTCGTACATATGCTCCTGATTCTTCACCATCAAAAATAATGATTGAATGTGCAAAATATAAATGGCGTGAAGAAATCGGATTTCTAGTAACTGGATTAAAAGTAAGATTAGTTAATTTATTTTATTTCTATTCTAATTTAATTGAATTATGTTCAATACAAAAGTACATTTGTTACTACCTCCAAATGTCCTGGTACAGCCGAGAGTGGGGAGAGTCAGCGTGACGAAATAAAATGAATCCATTTATTATTCTTCACCAATTTACGTTCTTGCCCCCAAATGCCCTGGTACGGCCGAGAGTCCACTCTCCCTCTCCAAATGCTCTCATATAACCACGCGATTATAGCCTCTGACAGGGAAGTCCTATTCACTGCCTTCTCGTGGCGGGGGTATTGTTTAGGATATTGAGAAGACGAAAAACGAGTATCTGGCGCTTTAACCGGATTAGTGGACACGGAGAATGCACCTAGAGCAGTTGGAAAACCCTGATTACAAACCAATGGTCACATGGGTCCCAGGATCCTGAGGGGACGAATGGAGTATGAACCTATTGTTGGTCAACGGCTTCCATGGGACCGCATCTCCTAACATTGATTCACTGCCTTGTGGATTAGATAATTAGGTCGAAGGCTCCAGGTGTGGCCCACTAAGAAAAGCACCTGCTTTGTTTTAGGCACCCGGACAGTATCACAGCCCCCACACAAATCAAATGAGATTTATGTGGTCCATATGTATCTGGTGCCCCCTTGTACCAGTATTTATATGTTCAAATAAATAAATAACAGTTGTTACTATTCTTTGTATTTATTACGAAAATTGTTTGCCATTCAGATAACTAAAATAACCCATCGTGTCATTGAATAAGAAAAAGGAGAATTCAGCAAAGAAAATTTTCTTTTCAACGAAATCATTTATTTAAGCTGTACATTCGTATATATAGTTATATATGGAAAGTATATGTCTATGGGAGGATAAAGAAAATTGCATCACCAAAATGGATTCGAGACTAAATAACAAATGAGGTTACGTGTACTAATCAAGGAGTTAGATAATAATCCAATCGACAGATATGAAGAAAAGCGACAAACACAATGGTCATAATAATAGACTGAATAATAATCAAGAAAACTTGTATAAGGTAATAATAATACTAACTGATTAAAGTGAAAAATAGTAATTTTAAAAATTCTATAATAATCAAATAAAAATGCAGAAAAAGAAACTCAGGAACATACCCATCAAAGGAATTAGAGCCAAGGAAGGATGAGAAGTTGAACAGATCGTTTCTACACGCAAAGTTCAGGCTTAAGTTCATGGATTGCCAATGCCTCAGCAGTGCATAAAATATTGATTCGATACCTCTTCGATCCAATTCGTTTGACTCTGTAGGTCACTTTAAAAGAATACTTGGGAGCGGTGTGTCCAGAATTTATGAAATGCTCCTGTATAGAAGTAGTGATTGTCTTACATTCTTCTTTTACAAGCCAAGCCGGATAGTGTCCTGAGATGCGTTTGGAAAGTGATCGCTTTGTTCGGCCTATACAACGAGCCCCACATGAGCACGTAAATTTATAAATACACATTGATGTGGCCTAAAGCGAAGGTTTATCTTTAACACATCCAGGAATGGTAGGCCGACTTGAGAAAACAATTCGGAGCTTGGTTGTGTAGAAAGTTTTATTGAATGATTTTGAAATCCGTTTATTTAAGATTTCAGCAGCCGTGTCTCCTTTAAATACCATATTCATTAACAGGGTTTTCTTTTGTACTGTCGATACTTCCTCATGATGAATTCTAGGTGTTAAGTTGAGTAGAGAGGAACGTAATTCACTCTTTATCCTCTAGAATCAAGCGAATCTGTTCCACTGACACAATAGATGAAGAAGTAATTCAATTTCGACAAACTCTCATCAGAAACGGTTATCCGCCTAGATTCGTCGATAGTAACTCATTTACTCGGTTATCCCAGTAGATGTGAGAAATAGTTCTAAGACATCTGTGATCAAATACTAGTAGCTTATGAGTATCTTCTACTCTTAATGGCCACGTTTTGCAGCCGTAAAACAGGACAGAACGAACTGCCGCGCAGTATACTTGACAGATATCTCGCCTTCGCCATAGGTGACGTAAGTTCTCGGGAACCAAACTAGATTTTTGAATCGGTGTAGAGATTTCATCAGGCCCCAATCCACTAGGTCTGATCAGACTTTCAAGATAAGTGATTTTTACCAACCAATTTATCTTGAAATTAAATGAAATGTATTTTAATATTATTTAATTAACATATTTTCATTTCAATTGAAGGACACATTTGTTGATTAATCAAAATACAACAATTCCCTATTATATAAGGAAACAAAAACTAAGACTAAACTGATAATCATCTTATTATTAATTTTAACACATAGATATTGGTACAATGAGGCACCAAATACTTATGCGCCACACAAATTTCATTTGATATGTATGAGAGCTGTGATACTGACCGGGTGCCCAAAACGAGACGGGTGGTTTTCATAGGGGGCCACACCCCGAACCTTCGACATAAAGGTCTGATCCACAAAGCAGTGGAGCAACGTTAGGGGATGCAGTCCCATTGAAACCGGTAACCAACGATTGGTTCATACGTCATTTGTTCCTTCAGGATACTGGAGCCCATGTGCACCACTGGTTTGTAATCAGAGTTTTCCAACTGCCCTAGGTGAACCCGGTTAAAGCGTCGGACATTCGCTTTTCGTCCTCTCAATTCCGTAAACAACAGCAACGCCACGAGAAGGCAATGCGTAGAACTTCCCTGTCAGAGGCTATAATCGCGTGGTTATGTGATGGCATTTGGAGAGGGAGAGCTGACTCTCCCCACTCTCGGCTGTACCAGGGAATTTCAGGGCTATACAATTTATATCAGTAAACTATATTATATTTCAATTCATGCCAATTTCCCCCCAATATTATTTATAATCAATTACTTGATCTATTCAATTTTAGGTATTCTATCCAGATATTAATGAATATACTACATTTGATATTTTCTTTGGAAGATCATTAAATCCATCTACAATATATGATAATGGTAATTAGATTGTTTATATAAACAATAGAATTCAATCTATGTATATGGATGTGTTTACTATTTGGATCATGTTTATTTATTATTAACTAATTCTTAATATTGAATTTATAATGAACCAATTCATTCAATCCTTCGAGAAAAAAAGGTTGTTTAAAGAGAATGTTGCATGTTCACAGGTTATAACAACTTGTCGGTTTGTACTCCTATCAATGTATAACGTAATGTGATATTGCCAGTTAGAGAATGGTAATTTATCGACCAAACCAATGACCCATAAAACCTATGCAAACAGTTTAGAGTATTTGTCAGTTCTTATTCCTGATTAGCCTAGTCTGTTGAGTCCAAAACACCGATCTCAGCCTCTGTGATATGAATCATTATATTTCAAGCATACTGAGTTTATATACCAAGCAAACAAACCATATTGTACCATAGCTAAATGTGGCTGTGAATGTGGGAGATAGTAATTGATAGACAGGGCATAACTCTAGAATGGTAAATCATATGATAACAGTTTATGGGTCAAAATAAAGCCTATAATAAGAGGAACACGAATATGCATAGTTTAGTTACATAACAATTACACAATTAGGAAATATGTATAGTATTAGTCCAGGAATAGATTCCAACAGTTATCATTCATTATTCTCATCGGCATATAACATAATCTATTTATAATTCCAACGAATTTCAGATATAGATTCAGTGTTCTTGTTTTAATTGACAGGGAATATGTTTTATGATATAAATTGAAATGTTTACATAACAGGATTGTTATCAAATAGTTAGAAAGCGGCAACCAACAAAGTCACAATGAAATATGTATACGAACATGTGTATTTAGCGAACGTCAACACTTGAAGGTTTTGTAAAGCTGCTTATGTCATATTTTGACAACGTTCTCATTATTTTCATTAGTTTATTCAGTTTAATGAGTGTATCATTGAGTAAAATGTTCTGGTACGGCCGAGAGTAGGGAGTCTGCTCTCCCTCTTGAAATGCTCTCATACGGCCGCGCTCATATAACCACTACCAGGGAAGTCCTACTCTCTGCCATCTTACCGCATTACTATTGTTTACGAAATTGAGAGGACGAAAAGCGAATGTCCGGCGCTTTAACCGGGTTGGTGGATATGGAGGATCTACCTACGGGAGTTGGAAAACCCTCATTCAAAATCAATGGTGCACATGGGTTCCAGTATCCTGAAGGAACAAGTGGTATATGAACCAATTATTGGTCACCGGCTTCATTGGGACTGCATCCCCTAACGTTGCTCCACTGCCTTGTGGATCAGACCTTTGGGTTGAGGGTTTAGTATCACAGGCCACACACAAATCACTTGATTTGTGTGGTCCATATGTATTTGGTGTCCCTTTGTACCAATGTTTATATGTTCAAATCAATATATAAAAATGCAGTATCCTATCTTCTCAAAACTAATCACTATGCAATAACGCAAATTAATCATCCTATTTCAATTAACATGTGAAAGTTGAACAATAATGGTTCGTTTACCATTGATCAGTTTATGCAGAATAATCAACTTGTCAACGAATGAACACAATTCATGTTTGTAACTAAAAATGTATTGTTAATTTTATTGTTTACTATTTAACCGGTTCAATTATTCATAGACAAACTAAAAACCTTCTATATATAAACATCATTTAATGGAACAGATATCATTCATTTCTAGTGACTAAATTCTAATATTCTTATTATCAGAATGCTTTATCAGACAATTTAATTTCTAGAATATTCATTAATTGGCAGCAATTATAATCATTTTCATCAAGTTAAGAATTATAGTTTGCTATTGAATAATGAAGAATATCATACAATCAAGTATATTTCTTAATAAAAACAAATGTGTTCATTGTCTACAGATAAGTTGATTGATTGAATACAATCAAGTTAAGGCATAAAGTATATCAACTGTATATGTAATTTGAAGTATGTTATACCGTGTCGGAGTGTGGGGTAGTTTTCCCATTGACTTACTTACTTACGCCTGTTACTCCTCGTGAAAGAGCATAGGCCGCTCACTAGCATTCTCCATCCAACCCTGTCCTAGGCAATCCTTTCCAGTTGTTATTCATCCTTTTCATATCTGCTTCTATTTCCCGATGTAATGTGTACTTTGGCCTTCCTCTTTTACGCTTCCCTTCAGGATTCCAAGTTGAGGCTTGCCTCGTGATGTAGCTTGATGATTTGCCTAATTTATGTCCTGTCCATTTCCATTGTCTTTGACTAATTTCTTCTTCAGCTGGTTTGTTCTCTCCTACAGAAGTCTGTTGCTGATGGTATCCGGCCAATGGATGTTGAGTATCTTGCGTAGACAATGGAAATCGTTCTCGGAGTATCGTAGATTGATTAATACTGTTGGATACCAGCCCAGTTGTTTAAGGGTGGAGTGTTCGTGTACGAAACCACGTGCGGTAATATGGGCGCATACAACTGACGAGTCTCATATTAAGACGAAACAACCGTCTATTACTTCCACATTTTGAATGATAGTCTAAAATAGATCGATTCATCATTGAAATATGTAATTCTATTTATCGATTTTTGTTATATTTATTATTTTTTTATTAAGGTATTCGTCTATTTCTTGGTCCAGATGTAAATCGTGCAAAAAGATTAGCTAATCAATTTGTTAAAAAATTAACACAATTAGCTAAATGGTTTGAAAATCAAAATTGTTATCATTTCTATGCAAGTTCTTTATTATTAGCTTATGATAGCGTTGATGTCAATGATGAGATCATGTCATCTCCGAATACAACCACCACCACCCAGTTACCATATTCATATTATAATCACGATCATGATCATCATCATCATAGTTGTCAAGACAACAATAAAGAATCAATTATATCCAATATAGATAATAATGAAATAGATGAATATGTTTTAGTATATTTAATTGATTTTACACGTTGGGAATTAGTAACAGATTGTAGTCAAATAAAAGATGAAAATTTTCTATATGGTTTAAATTATTTAATTGAATTATTTCAACGTGCATCATTGGACTCATCACCATTGACTTAAAGTACCATATATATATATATATATATATATATATATATATATATATATATATATATATACCAATGAATTAACAACATTCGCCAATGAGTAGTATCCGTAATAAAACAAAGATGTACAGCGTTCACAGTTTTTCTATGTACATTTTGATCGAAATCTTTTGGCTGCTCACTTTCCCCTACCCCCCCTCGCCCACTTTTTTTTAAAACTGCCAAAAATGTTAGTCTTTCATTGAAATTTATTATTGTCACTAAGTGGGTTTGTTCCCCCCTTTTTTTTCTATTTATATATGAACAAATTCTTCTGGAATCCAAATCATATTTGTTTTTATTTTATATGGTTTGTATGATGTTTTGTATTATTCAGTGATTATTATTACCATATTAATAGGATGAGTATTATCCATCTCAAGGTATATTTTAATTGCTTATCTTATTTTGTTACAATTTTCTGTTAGAAATAAAGATTATTGTTTATTTTGTTGACAGGGAGAACAAAATCTGATATATACATATGTATATGTTCTCTCACTGTACTATCCACGTTGTATGTTATTAATGTGACTTGGATTTGATATAGTTATTATTATTATTAGTAATGGCTTTATTCATTATATTATATTTTTGGTACAATAACACCGTTGAATGCCAGTCTACAGGTTAAGCGTTTGCATAAGAGATTGTTAGGTCCTGTATTCGAATCTTGCGAGGCGGTATCGTTTATGTGCATTGTTAAGGAGTTCTACAATAGAACGAAATGGCCTTCCAGTGCTTCTAGGTTTTCCACAGTGGTCTAACTTCAATTGACTCATAATCTCAACCATTGAGATTACTACAATATCCACAAAACGCCTTCTGATATCAATTTAGAATTGTCAGTATAAAGTTATTCAACAGGTTTCTTCTTTAAAGAGACCAAGAATGAATAATTGCTGTAGAATAATAAATGGATTCATTTTATTTTGTTAGGTTTTCATCAGCTGCTTACAACCTGTAATATTTGAAAATCAACATTATTACAGATATCGACATACTTATACATAAGGGGGTGATTAAAGATGAATATATGTCATAATGTAACGAAGATTTCAATAGAGTCAATAAATAAAGTTTGGGAGGGAAAGTTCTAGGAGACAGGATATGAAGTCGATACACTGAAGTCCCTCAACGTGATTCACAAACAATCCAACTCCATTTTTCTTCAATTCATACCTTTCTTTATTACTATTTCAGTTAGTTCATTACACAATCATCTAATGTTTGTTAACTCCATGAGTTCTAATCATTAATTCAATGTTCTGGAACTCTCACTCCCAAACTTTATTTCTCCGAAACAAAAGTTTTTCATGATCTTATTAATTTGATTGACACCTTCGTTACATCATGATACACATATTCATCGTTGATCGCCATTTTACGTCTAAGTGTGTCGATATATGTAATAACGTTGATTTTCAAATATTAAAGGTTGTAAGCAGCTGATGAGAGCGTAACGAAATAAAATGAATCCATTTATTATTCCTCATCAATTTACGTTCTTGCCCCCAAATGCCCTGGTACGGCCAAGAGTCCGCTCTCTTTCTCCAAATGCTCTCACATGACCACGCGATTATAGCCTCTGCCAGGGAAGTCCTACTAACTGCCTTCTCGTGGCGGGGGTATTGTTTAGGATATTGAGAAGACGAAAAACGAGTATCTGGCGCTTTGACCGGGTAAGTTGACACGGAGAGTTGGAAAGTCAGTCACAACGTAGAACTTCGTATATACGTACATCAGTTCGAGTTGCCACACCACATTAGCACAGAGATGCAGTTGTCGACTCAAATCCCATAGTGATAGAGGTAGTGAAAGTATAAGCAATAATCAGAAACATTAGGGTTTGAAGATGTTATTCAAGGACTATAATCCAGTGAAACAAATTTGGAAAGAGAAAAAAGAAAGGGACATGAAGAATTCAGAAGATTAGAATTTGGGAGAACACAAAGAGTGTATGCACATGCACAATTGCAAACGATTTTGAGCCATGTTATTCAAGGTCTCTAACCATCGGTTGCTTCCATCTCGCGGTCCCCAACCAGGTAGTCTACACATACCGACATGACTCAGTTCACTTGTCAGTGACTTCAAGGATTTGTGCCATGTTTTGGTCTGGCCGCCCTTGGAGTTGGAAAACCGTTATTCAAAATCAATGGTGCCCATGTTCTCCGGTATCCTGAGGGGACAAATGGATTATTAACCTATTGTTGGTCGCCGGCTACCATGGGACTGCATCTTATGTTGCTCCACTGCCTTGTGGATCAAACCTTCAGGTCAAAGTCTCCAGATGTGGTCCCCTAAGAAAAGCACCTGCTTCGGTTTGGGCACCCGGGTAGTATCAAAGCCCTCTCACATATCAAATGAGATCTGTGTGGCGCATATGTATTTGGTGCCTCCTTGTAGCAGTATCTATGTGTTAAAATAAATAAATCTTGTTCACTTTAGGATAATAAAGAGAACTATGTGTATGAGGTTTCCTTATGTTATTGCTTGATCATTCATGACGATATATATTAAGATTTTGTAGTGTTACCGAACAAATGTCTTGCAAATAATCCAATTAGAATTCTTGAATTGTGATTGTATCACAACAATGATACATGTTTAGACTTAGTAGGAATTGCCAATTAGTGATCACCAGTTAGATGTAAGCAGTTCAGGAATCGACATCTGAATAATGTTCATTCATTTCAGTGGATATTGCCAACTACCATGATGTCTCTGATTGTACTTTTTTTGTAACGAAAGGCCGTAAAATTTCCATAAACTCATCTAAATAGCCTGTGTGATTAATCGACATAGTACTAAAACAAATGGAGACATAACTTTTTGAAACATCTAAAGAACAGGGACAAATAGTTCAGATATTCAAGCACACCGCCAGCACAGTTTATTGCTACTAGTACAACTGACTGCGTAATAAGTGTTTATTACTCATGACAACGGAACAGCACTCTTGTATTGACGACACAAAGAAATCAAGACTATGGGCGAGAAATTATTGATACACCAACCACTAAGTGAACGACATCCATAATAATAACAACAGATCACATGTCCTTTTGAGTGCTTAGTCAATCAATAAACTTGAATTGAACTAGTGATTGATCAGTAATTTAATGTTCGTATAGAATTTGCAAAATCGATAAACCAGTTCAAGTAACTCATCATTGAATTATATGTTTGTTTGTACGTATATTGCCCTAATGATTGTAATGCTTAACAAGATGTTGTAAAGGGCTACAATGATCGGGAGGACTATGAACAGAATGTTACTAGATTTTGTTGAGGAGCGGTCACATCAGTTACCAAATCACATTCAATACAATAATTTTCGTGTCATTACTAATAAAAAGATGAACGAGACTGCTCGCACTCTCAGTGAAAGCATTTATATCTGGATTAATATAGGCGGACTCATTAGAGAACGTTTTCGTTTGTATTAAGCAAGACCAAGTCTAAAGAAACCGGAATGTCGGTGGATCAAAGCTTAACTGTATCATTGAGATACATATATACGAAGTTACTGACCCACGACGGTTCACAAGTTGAGATTAGTGAACTACTTTAGGTTGGTGTCATTTGTAAGATCAGTCAACTTCTCAGACCATCTGTGTTGATTTTAGTATGAAAAACAAGAATGCTTACTCAGGATAAGCGAATGAGGCAGGAAGATCAGAGGTCATATTTGTTTTCTTTAATTGCAACTTGACCACTTCAAGTAGATATTTCGGCAAAAATTAAATCTAACAATCAGGTTCTAACTATCTAGGAGGCCGAGTGAGATAAGAAACTTGAATGTTGCGATCACTTATTCGTCAGATGACTTCTAGCACTTCTTATATATAACCCCGCTTTTTTAGGATTATCCCTACTAGCTGTCATTTGGTATCAGTTCAGTTGAGGACAGTTATCACTTCGTGTCGTCGTATTTCATCGTATATCCAGCATTGTAACAGTCCCCAAGTCTTCATGTTTAATTCCAAACTTTGAAGACTCTCTCATGTAACAAAACCCCTGGCACATTTTCAATCCACAATGACTAGGGAGAAAGCAGCGTTTTGTAAATACAAGTTTCAACATCAGCTTTACTTTCCAATTTTTGAAACGTTGACAAATACAATTTACATTTACTAGATAACAAAATACGATACTTTGAAGGTTTGACTATGTCTAAACATTACCATTCTCTGCGAGGAAATAAAATCTTCCTACTATCCCATTATGATACGAATCACAGAAGCAAACAATCACTGGTTAGTATAACTTTGTGACTATACAATCAAATTCACATATGAATATCAGATTATCACCAAATGATGAAGGATAATAAAGAAAGATTATAGTTTAATAAAGATGAATTATGAAAGACATAAAGCGATTGATTTCTGTAAAAGTTAAAAATATGTTTCAAAAAAAGGAATCAACTTAGTGATATAATGAAATAGTTTATGAGAATACAAATGAAAAACCGAATGACAACAATTTGAGAATTATTTATTGTCTTAAAGATAGTCCTATTGCTAAAGCTAAAATAAATAAAATCAATAATATAAGACTAAGACATATGCACTTTTTTCGTCGTGCTGATTTTCGATGTTTTGTAGCAGTGCTTAATTGTTCTGTGCCACTTTGAACCTAAAAAATAAATGTAAACTGTTAACAAAATTGAATAAATGCACATTATATGAAAAATGGTAAATCTGGATGATAAAGAACCTTAAAGGTATAGTTACTGTAAAAGATAAACAAGCATTAGAAAAACACTAAGAAGCGTTTCTTCCAATCAGCGTTCACTTGAAGTTTTAGCCAAAAAATATCAAGGAAGTGAAACGTCACATGTAGAGGTTCTGATTGACTGATTGCTATACTGCTACTATGTTTAGTAGCATTCCACAATCTTCTAACAACTCAACGACATTTAAAATATTATAAAAACCCTATATTTTCTGTATTGAAATGAGCCTTGGAGTAAAGTACTTCTCGCATACTTTGCGTCTTCTCTCTCGTTGTTCAGGTCGTTGTATAGTTCTAGTTTGGGGGTTACAGAATATCTTAGGAAACCAATATCTAGCGTTCAATTTGCAGGACTTATGAATTTCCGAAACTTCTAACCAGTTTGTAGTATGCCTAGTGAATGACGGCTCTAAGATGACGAACTATGTGAAATCTTGTCATTTTTCAAAATGTTCCCGGCAAAAACATATCTTAATACCGCTTATGTTAGGCAGAAGAATTACTAAGAGTCCTCAGACTATAGGTGATTTTAGGTTGGAGACCGACTTCGAACCATACCATATTATTTTTTCAACTACTAATTGTAGTCGTCTATTAAACATCAAGTGGGAATATCACAATCACCTGGGGAACTGAAGATGATAGAGGGTCACTTCATGATTTAGTGACCAACTTAACACTATAACATTCAAAATGAATTTTAGACAGTGTATGTACTTATTTTCACCAGGGATCACGTAAAAGTAACGACTTTATGAGCATAAACTGCATAAAACCTACCTGTTCATAAGCTACTTCTATATTATCTCCAATAGAATCAA